CGTGGAGGAGGAGGAGGAGGAGGAGAAGTGAGAGACAGGTGGGATGAGGAGTGCAGAGGAGGGTGATAGGAGAGCCGGGAGAGAAGGGTGGAGCGTTAAGAGCGAAGGGAGCGAAGGGATTGAGAGGCAGGGGAATGAGAGCAGGAGAGATTGGTGAGGAGAACCTTGTGATGCCAGGGATCGCAAGTAATGCTCAAGAGGGGACTGAAAGACCAAGTCAATGCCGAGAATGATGATGATGATGATGATGATGATGATGATGATGATGATGATGACGACGACGACGACGACGACGATGATGACGATGATGATGATGACGATGACGATGATGACAATGATGATGATATGACGATGCTTGTGTCTCTAGTATGTGTTTCATCTTTCTAACTCTAACTCTAACTCTAACTCTAACTCTAACTCTAACTCTAACTCTAACTCCATTTTCATCTCCATCTTCCTCCCTACCTCATTGGATTGCCGAAGAAGTCCTCGACAAGTGTTGGCATCAGGGCAAAGTTGTCAGCTGAAGCCCAAACGTGAGAAGTAAAAACAATCGCAAACAGAAGCAAAAGTCAAGAAACGAAAGACAAGTCAGGAAGTTGCACCAAGGTTTCAAATCAGCAAGATCCCACCTGCGACATCCGGAAACCATTCTTGGAAGAAAGCTATGCGAAAGATGAATGTCAAGGGGAGGACATGAAAGAAATGAATGAAGACGAGGGAGAGCAGAGGACACGAGGAGATGACAAGAGAGAAGCGACGGGAGGAGGGCGTGAGAGGAGGGAGCAGAGGAGAAGGGAGGAGGAGGAGGAGGAGGAGGAGGAGGAGGAGGAGGAGGAAGGAGGAGGACGAGATGGCGAAGTTTGTGTCGGTTGTCTTACACTTGAGTTGCTCTGGCGTCTTGATCTTCTCGATCTCTTCGAAGGATATGAAGAGAGTGGCTGTGAAAGATTTGTCCGCGTTGGGAAGAGCTGCAGGTGAAGTCAAACAGACTCCCTCCCCAACCACCCTCGTTCATTTGCAGAGTTTCCTCCCTCCTCCTTCCTCCCTTTCCTCGTCGCTCCTGCATCCCTCGTCCCTTCCTCCGCTCTGCTGTTCCCCTTTTCTCTCCACCACCTCCCTGCTCCCTGCTCCCTGCTCCCTGCTCCCTCTCCTTCTGCAACTAGTCGCTCACCGATCAGCATGAATTCTTCTCTCGGCCAAATGTGCAGAGCCTGCCGGCCCGTCAGACGTCACAAGTCTTGCTGAGCTCAAACCACCCGCGCGTGCATGGCGAAGTCTCCGGCAGGTGTTGGGGGGATAGTGAGCTCCTGGCAAGAGCAGGTGAGGAGGGAGAGGGAGAGGGAGAGGGAGAGGGAGAGGAAGAGGAAGAGGGAGAGAGAGCACGAGCACAGGAAGACACACCTTGTACCCTGTTGTGATGTACTCGCGTGAGAAGTTCATGCGCTCTACCCTTGCAAGAGCCTCTCGCACCTGCGTGAGTAGATGAGCTTGCTGCCTGCAAACGGTCCACCCCTCCTTGATCTCGTCCTCATCTTACAAAAGCTCCTCCCGTCCTCATCCTCCTCCTCCTCCTTCCTCCCTCCTCTCCTTCTTCATCTCCTCCTCCCCCCTCCTCCTTCGTCTCCTCCTCCCCACCCTCCCTACTCTCCTCCTACCTCTACTCCTTACTGTCTTCCTCTCCCATGTCCAGATCACTTCCGTCCTTTCCTCCTCCATAAATCGCGTTGTAATCCTCCTGCTCCTCACCTTTGAGAACGCGCCATCGGCTCCGATGACGCATCTCGCCTTGACCGAGCTCCTGTCGCCCTCCTTGCCCGTCACATTCACCACGTTGGCAGACGAGTCGAAGGATTCGAACTGGAAGCGCAAGGAAGGTCAGAGGAGCAGCAAAGATTGCAAGTGGTGAGGGAGGGAGGCAGAGGCAGAGAAGGGGCGGAAGAAGGGGAGGAGGTGCGAGGGAGAGTGCGCTGAATTATTCTTTCAACATGAAGAGAGAAATAGACAAGAACAAACGCAAGAGACGAACAGAAGGAGATGAGGAGAGACGAACTTTCACCTTCTTCTCGAACTCTACCGACACGTTGGGCATCCCTTCGATCTCCTCTAGCAGCGCAAAGTTGAGGTCCTCCCGGGAGATGGAGAAAATGGCGTGACCGGGCCTGTCAGGCAGTGAGGGAGGAGAAGGAGGATATCGGGGATACAAGGAAACGATGGTCGAGGGGAGGGCGAAGAGACCAGGTGGGATCATGGACGAGAACAAAAGGAGGGGAAGGATGGGAGAAATAAACTGCGAGAAAAGAGCCAGACAGCAGAGGCTTGCGACTGAGACACTGGATGGACGCAGGCAGGAAGGAATAGGAGGGAGGTAAGGGAGAAGGGAGGGAGCGAGGGAGCGAGGCAGGGAGAGGAGGGAGGGAGGCAGGGAGAGGAGGGAGGGAGAGAAGGAGGAAGAGAGGGAGGAAGAGAGGGAGCGAGGCAGGGAGGGAGGGAGAGAGGGAGGGAGAGAGGGAGGGAGAGAGGGAGGGAGACAAGACAAGCGTGACGCTGGCCACGAGGAAGAGCTACCTGTGGTCGTAAGGCTGCAACACGCTCTTGTTCTTGTCAGCTTCTCCAGGAGGATGTATCATCCTTCCTTCCATCGCGATCGCCTGCTCCATCACCTTCCCTTCCATCCCGATCTTCCTCAGCGCACAGAGGCCGCGGTGGGACAGCGCCAGGTTGATAGACCTCTTGGTGGTGTTGCACAGCATGCCATGAAGGCCGTTTACATCTGCATCGTCCACATCACCTCCCCTCCCAGGAGCAGCAGGAGTAGCAGGAGCAGCAGGAGCAGCAGGAGCAGCAGGAGCAGCAGGAGCAGCAGGAGCAGCAGGAGCAGGAACCAAGCTCTCACCCTGCTGCGAAGACCTTCGAGGGTCCTGTCGCCCCTCATACAGCTGCACTCGGCATCCTCGTCTCCCCATGAGGATCGCTGCCATGGACCCCACAAGCCCCGCCCCGATGATCACCACAGGCTCTTGATTCGTTTCCGCCATGTTGTCGATGCTGCTCTAGCGTCAAGTTTCTTTGTTATCTCCAGCTCCCCCACCTGCTCCCATCGCTCGCACTCCCTCATCCTTCCTCTTCCCTTCCCGTCTCCTCCCCCTTGTCGCCCACACTGCTGAACTACAATTCGCTGGCGTGCTTCCTTCCTAACTTTCCCATCACGACCCATAGTCTCAATCTCCTCGGTGCTTCTCATGTTTCACGTCTTTCTACTTTCTAGAGCACGATACCACTTCTCCTCCCTCCCTCCACCAGCCGTGCCCTCCATCTCCCCTTCTCCTCACTGTCGTGCTGTTCCTGTAACGAGGTTCTTCTCTTCGTGTTTCCTCCATACTCCGTCCAACCTCATGAGCCACATTGCTCCACTCCACACCACATGCTTCTAGTCTCTCTTCCTTGTGCTCTCCTCTTCTTCTGCCTCTCCCTTCCTCTCCTTCTTCTTCTCCTTCCCGCTTCATGTTCGCACGAGTGTTTTGCTTACTTACATCACAAACAAAAAAAAAACTTTCAAGCACAGGTTTTACACAGCCGCCGGCCTTGCCAACGGTTCAACGGTTGCCACTGAACTTTCAGCCCCGGCCGTTGAAGGCCAAGTCACCGTGGCAGTGCGCCTCAGCCGAGTCACTGGGCAGGCCGGGCACGCCGCCGCCCCGGCCCGGGCCTGTACTACCGTGCCGGTACTCCGGGGGTGACGGTACCCGGTACTATTACCGTACCGCGAGCCCTAGGCTGAGTCAGTGGTCGGGCCGCAAAGCCGCCGGGGAGGGACTGTCGCCACAGGCCCGGGGCCATCCCGGCGGCCATGATCCGGCGAGCCTGAAGACTCAGTGACTCGGAAAGTCATAGTGATCACTACACTGTGACACGGCCGCCCCGCGGCCGCCGGCCCGGTGTACTCGATGAGGCTCTCCTACTACCGGAACTTCGGAATGTGACGCGGCCCGCGATGATGGCAGCGAAGCCTGGGACAGGGAGGCCTTGAGTGAGCTGACGAACAATCCTGGACCGGAGTAGTCACGCGGCCGGGCCCGGCCTGGCCGCCGGGTCGGGCCCAGTGCCGCTGCCCAGTGAGAGTCGGACTGAGGCTCAGGCCCGAGGCTGTGAGGGGCGATGCAATGAGGCGGGCTTGCCCTCATCATCCAGTAGCGCCGGTACGGTTCGGACGGTTACCAGAAAGCCCGCGGGCCCTGTCGTAAAGATCTCCTTTAAAACCCGAGTTATAGTTTTTAAAAGAATTGGGAGGCAAAAAAAAAAAGCCATCGGTAATGGAGCAAGGAGGCGGGGCTGTAGGGGGCTGCAGTACCGCTAGTACCCCTGGCCTCCTCCTACATATCCAACTTATAGATGGGTGGGGTACATTCCTTATCAAAAAAACTGCTTCCACATCTGGAAGCAGACTCAAGCTTTTTTTCCGGCCCTAACCACCCCTCCCATGAACAATACTACCCTACCTCCCATGTCCTAGCTCAAAGTGTTTCTCCCACCCACCCTCGTTTTCATACTATCACCTCAGCCGTTCATCACCCCACCCCAGGGATCAATAGACGCCTTCAATACCACCCTCTTGATTTGATACCTTTGCCAGTCCGAATGATCAAAATCACTCTCTCCACCCCTACCCCTGCTTCTGTGCCTTCCTGCCCCTGCAGAGGGAGGTTGTGCCTGTGGATGCAAGTCACGGGGATACCTCGTGACCCCCAACCTACCCCCGTTTCCAACCAGAAACCAATGAACAGCAACCACCACCCCACTTTCATCACCACCCCGCCCCCCTTATCTCCGATTCGTTAAAAGTCCCCCGTTATGGGAGGGGTGGGGTAAAGTACCCACCCATGTGATTTATTGTACTGGTTTAAATTACGACCTGGTCATTGGTCAGCACCCCTCATTTCTCCTCCCCACACCCACCCTTTGATCTCTGTCAATCAAATGGATCCCTTCAGGGTCTGTACCCCAACCCCTGGTTCACGAACCCACACCCACCCAGACCAGAAGGGTACCACCGGGCTTCTCCCATATTTTACACTCAGTGGATAGGGGCATTACCCTCAAGGGGTGGGTGGTGCTCCCTTCCTGGTGACTGTCACGATCATGTCAACTCGCCAGAACTATTGTCCACCCCACCCACCCATAGGGATCCATAGATGTACCCCACCCTCGACCACATACCTACCCCTACCCACTTCAGAATGAAGTCACCCAAGCACGTCCATTGTCTGCGAAGTCTGCCATGTGGCTGCTTTCTTTCCCTCCACCCCAGTACCCCACCCATTCACATGCAAATTGTATAGCAAATCACCCGGTTGCGCGTTGGGGAACCTCGTTCCTTCCACAACCTCTTGTACCCCACCCCTCTAGCTCACAATCAATTTCTCCCCACCCACCTATGTACCCATCAACCCCACCTCACTGATGATGTACACTATTGGGTACCCCACCCTTAAAAGTTGCCATGGTCCGAACGAGCGTCGTTTGCCTTCTGCTCACGGTGACTCCAGTACCCACCCCCCTAGTAATCTGTTCACAGATGACACGACCCCCCTGTTCTTGGAGCCGGTTTCTTCAACATTTCTCCCCCACCCTACCCCTAGCACAGTGATATTTGACCCCACCCACCCCATCAAGCCCCCCTTCACCGGTGCATCCTCCCCTCTGCTCCTTCCCGCTCACCCGCACCCTGCTCGCTCCCCCTCCCCCCCCTTGCTCCTTGGCCGCTATCCCATAGAAGATCGAGCATTTCCTGTCTCGTCCTCTTTCTATCTCTCCTTCTTCCTAACACTTCCGCATCATCTCTTGTTACTCTCACTCTCACTCGCCCTGCGCGCCTTGACCTTCTCAATCGAAGTTACTTCGTCGCCTTGCTTTACTTCAACCCTGTTTGAGAGCTGATTGCTTCAACCCTGTTTGAGAGCTGACTTTGATGCAACGATTCTACTTGAATCTTGTTCCCGTGTTTGATCTGTAATTTTTGTTTCAATATTTGATGTTATCTTCTTTATGGGCTTAATTTCTTCCAGGTTGGCAACCTGATATACCTCATTAGTATCAGTTACACGAGGAGTATCTTCGTTTTAATTTCGACCGAAGCATTCCCTTCCGTGTTTTGTGTATTCTACAAGTTCTTGGAATATGATATGATTTGGTTTACTTCCGATAATTGACGTTCGATCACTCTTTTTTTGACCTTCACTTGTGATCTGGGTACCCATATTGTCGAAACTTTGCCTGTCGCTTTTATTCCGATTCCTTGAGTTATGATCCTTTCTTGAGAAACATGTGTCGGATATTGTCTTAATGCTCTATGTGTTGCTTGTAAACCAAGACGCTACGATTCTGATTGGACTTGCCAGATCCATCTGTATTCGACATTTTGCGAACCTTAGCAGTCCTTCAAGGCAACAGGGAATTCTTGTATCGTGGATCTTAAGCGAAGGGTCCAAAACGCTTCTTTGAATGGAACAACAGCAGGCCTGGGCAAGGCAGTTAGCAGCCGCTCAGTCTGCTTCGAACAGTTCATCGTTAGGAATGAATCACAACAGTATCTCGGCGAGCTCGCCATTTGCCGGAGCAGGAATCCCCTCGGGCCTCCTTTCAGGAATTAGCACCTCGCTTTCTGGTGGACTTGGAGCTGGAATCGGTCTTCAGAATGTTTCTGGGATCCAACAGCAGCTATTCCAGAGCGCCGCTTCTCCAGCCAGTGCCTTCATGCAACAACAAGACGCCAACGATTTGGTGGGTTTGCTTGTTTACAGGAATTCATGTGATGCTTATTCTTCTTCAGATGGCTCATTTGAGGCAGTTGAATCCCAACGAGCTTGCATCACTCTTGGGCAACGGAGGGATGAATGTGTAAGTTTTGTGTTGAGAGTATCTTTGCTCCCAACCTTACTTGTGCATCGCAGGAATATCAGTGGCCTTCCTGGTGCAGGTGTGAAGAGGAAATAGAGAAGGTTGGGGTTAGCATAATGTGTTTTCCTTTGAAAAGCAGGGCTTGGCCTCCAGGGTCTGCAAGGATTGCCAGCTCACCTGCAGGTACACCAATGTTTTTTCTCTGCCTCGCATGGTACAAAATGGTTTACAACCGTGCTTACAGCAAGCGGCATCGTCGCAAGGCTTGTCGTTGGACTCCTCTGCACTCTATGCGGCAGCTGTTTCAGGTAAACTGACAATTTTTCTTGTTGTCATCGCACTGGTTGAGCTAGATGTCAGGGAGAAATTCAGCACTAGGTGATCAGGGCTCTCAGCATGTGGCTTCGCAAATGGACCAAGTATGTTCAATCATGCCCGTTCGTATCCGCTTTTTACTTTCCTATTCCTTTGATTGAATCAGTTGGAGCAAAAGCAATCCCAACAGGTGACGCTTTCAGTATTGCTGATCTTCGTTGACTGAATGATTCAAGCAGAAGGAGGGAAGCATCAAACCTGTCGCACAACCAGCAAGCAAAGTAAAACAGGTCAGTGCGGTCACTTGGTTTGAAGTCAGAGTGAAAGACGCAAAAGGAGCCAAATGCTAATCGCTCCAAGGAAGTTCCGAAGGATGCGAAGCCGGTATTTGTCGCAGAATTCCGTATAAACGATGATTTTGAGATTCAGTCCCAACCAACCAAGACTCCGACTTCGCAGGGACAGCTTTTTTCTGCACAGACAGTGCAACCGAATCGAGGTAGATTCTTTGCTTAATTCCAAACATGATGGTGAGGGCTTGATTCGTAGAATCTATTTCCGAGTCTTCGATCTTGCAGCAACAGCAGCAGCTTCAACAGTTGCAGGTATTGAAAGTTTGTTTCAAAAATCTTGCTCTGTTTCTTATCGAGTCTTGTCTAGTTGCAACTTGCCCAGCAGCCACAACTTGCATCTCTCGGAGGTGATTTGTTCACTTTCCGCTGGATCTAGGTGGTCCGTCTAGCTTAATGCGCAACCAGGTGCCGATGCACTGCAGCATCTTCAACAACTGCAACAACAACTACAACAACAACAACAATTGCTTCTCCTTCAACAACAGGTCAATAGATACTTTTATGTTTTCCCAAGTGTCTGTCTGTTTGCTTTCAAATCTCTGCCAATTTATGTGATTTTTTCTTAACGTATTTTCGGTACCAACAGTGGGTGAGTCATGTGGACTTGTGGACTTTGCTCGATCTATCTCAGCCTAGTTTCTGAATGGTTCATACTGTGATCTCCAACTGATGAGCTCCACCATCACTAACAGGAGAAGGGTGGAGATGTTGGCAATGCAGCAGATCTTCACTTGGTATTCCAACTCTTAATGTAATCGGATTTGATACCTGATTTGATTTTTGTTTGATTAGTTGCAACAACATTTGCAGCAGCAACTGCAGATGCAGGTACTTTCAATCTGGACAGCTTGACAACCTTGGAGGAGCCGGAATTGATCTCGTTCACTTTAGTTGCAGCAGGGAGGTTCGCTCTCTCTTGGGGACTTAGGACTGGATCAACATCAGCTGCTTCAGCAGCTGCAACAGGTATAATGCCTACGGATGTTTCACCGTTGTCTTGACACTATTCTGGTGCTAGTTGCAAAACATTGGAGCCCAGGAGCAATTTGCTCGAGCCATCCAACAGCAAATCCAGGGACAACTGCAACAGCAGGTATGTGCACACTCGAGTGAAAGCTCGAGCTCTGTTTGAGCATCTGCTTCAGCTTCAGCTTCAACTCCAGCAGCAGCTGCAGGAAGGTCATCCTCATCAACTAGCTCAGCTGCAGCTGCAGCTGCAACACCTACAGGGAGACGCAGCGAGCAGTGTGGTAACCTAGAACTGCTCTCATCCTTCAAACTCTTAGTTTTCGTTTCCCTCTAAAGCTCCAGCTCCAGCTCCAGCAGCAGCTCCAGCAGCAGCTCCTGCAGCAGGTAGCACCACAAGGATGCCAAGTGAATGGACTGAAGTTTGAATAGGCTGAGATGGGAGCCTCCGCCCAGCAGCTCCAGCTCCTGCAGCAACAGGTCAGACTCAGCCCATGCTTGCACTTCGAGTGTTTGACTGACTTGATCGCAGGCACAGCAGCATCTTCAGGTACTTCCTTCGTTGCCGCAGGATAGAAATGCGACATTGGCATATTTATGATTGCGACAGGATCCATCGGCTCTTGCTGGACTGACTCAAAGCCAACAGCTGCAACTGCAGCAGGCAATGTACATTATCATTCAGAGGCTGAAGCTGACATGGTCCCACAGCACATGCAGCAGTGGTCTGAGCAGCAGCGGCTCCAAGGTGGTGCTCAGGTTCACTTCAACTTTCCCCAGGATCCAACAGGGTGCTGACGGACTGTCAGTCACACTTGCAGCAACTGCTCCAATCTCAGCAGTCAGAGGTGCTGTGACCTTCTGGCTGACCTACTGCTCTGGTTGTGAGCCTATTTCTCTGCCGCAGAACTCGTCTGGGGAGAATGCGAGCAACTCGAAGGGACAAGGGTTTCAGGTAAGTCAAAAGCGTGTAAGTGGAGCGATGTCGATGAAAGGAAGTGACAGCATCCGCAGGGCGATGGTCTCAGGAAGCCCGGCGCGGTGTGGAAAATATTCCCTGTTGTCTTTGCTGTTCGCTGATGCAGTTTTTTTATCCGCATGACAGGCTCAAGGGTCTCAGGTTGTTATCTTTGCGAGTTCGCCATCATGTTCTCACATGGCCACTGCAGAACGAGCAGAGGAATGTCGCGTCCAACGAACAGACCCAAGTTCTGCAAGCCCTGCAAACTATCCAGCAGCAGGTGCTTCTTTATCATTCCTGCATCAAAGTCGAGCGATGTTTGACAGGTCCAAGCACTGCAAGCTCAGCAGCAGTTGCAACTGCTGCAAGCGATGCAGGTAAGGATCGTTTTATCCTTGCTTAATGTCTGACATGCTTTCAAAAGATCCCTGGGGTTACTCAGGATCAAATCCAGCAGATTCAGCTCCTGCATCAGCAGCAGCTCCAGCAGCAGCTCCAGCAGCAGGTTGATGATTTCTGCCTTGTCTTCCTTTCTCTGATACTTCTCGCAGCAACAACTTCAGCAGCTGCTTCAGCAGGTAATGGATTCTTCAGATCGTCGTCTCTATTTCCGTGTTGTCTATCTGATGGTTTCCTTTTCGCTCCTTCCCTCTCACTCAACAGCAACAGAGGCAAGGCCAGGCCGTATCACAAGGCAAGCAGGCTGATGGATCCCATGGTCATGGCTCAGGCATCTCCCTCGGGGCTCGTCGTGAGCAGGTCGGTCAAGAGAGCGTTGTGATGGCTGAGATGCCGTTAGTGATGGTTGCTGGTACAGGATGATAAGTTGAAACCTATCATCAAGCGTGAAGATCCCGGAAAGGGCCTCTCGGCCGACATGTTCAGAAAGGATCAGCGCTTCAAGGACTCGGAGGGTGATGAGCGCGGCCGGGGATTTGCCGCTGAAGAAGGCGCGCTGGCCGCCATGAGCACGGTCACTTGTCCACGGTCGACAATGTAGCAGCTCACCTCGGTTGAGTTCAGGTGTTGGAGGAGGCGACGGAATTCCTGAAGCAGCAGAAGAAGAAGCCGATGGAAGGAGGTACTCAGCGTGCCGCCAATGCGATGGATAAGGATCAGGACGAGTCTGACATGAAGTGGATCTCTGGTGAGACGAGCAACCTTTTCTTGTCCCTGCTTTCGTTTTGACAGCTGACAGGTGGAGACTTTTCTGGAGCGAAAAAGAATCAGCGCCCGATCCCTCTGAAGCCTGGGGTGGAGAAGAAGGTATGTGCCACATTGCAGCTTGAGGTTGCTCACCAAGCTCGCAGGTGTTGGCTGAAAACAACACGTTTTTGAGCGCATTTGGATCTCGCGGACTGCCGTTCCAACTCCCTTCTACTGAATTCTTGCCGCCCTCATCTTCTGAAGCGCGATCTCTGGCTGTAACGGACAAGGACCTCAAGTACATCGTCCTTGTTTTGATGCAGGAGACGCTGTACACTGGCATGTTGCAAGATTGGGAGCACCTGCTCGGAGGAGGAGCAAGCTTGAATCTTGTACAAGAGACTCTCAGCATCCTTTCTGTCGCCCAAGACTTGTCCCAGTCCGACTTGAAGTCGATCCTCCGAGTCAAAGAGAGAGGGTTGAGCGAAGCCTGGAAGAGAATCTGGGCTACTCTGCATGAGAGTCTGGGCTGCACTTCTAAGAACCTCCTCGGGTTCGCTCAATCTGCCCTCCGATTGGCTGTCGAGAGGCGATACATCCTGTCTAGCGAGCATCGTGCGCAGGTTCAGTCTCGGTTGGCTCAGCACATGGGGTCCAAGGCTGGCCAAGTTTTCACACAAGAGTTGGGAGGCGACTGGGCGAAGCTCAGGATGTACCTCTCTCGCTCCCTGGCGAGCTTAGAGGAGGTGAGTGCATGCGTTCCTTTGTCATCGAGCCCCTCACTTGGTTGGAAGGGCTTCGCTCGGGAGGCAATGAAGCCGGAGCAGGTGGACAAGGGTCCTGACGAGCCCACTGGCGTCATCAAGTCGTGCATCATCATCGCCAGGTTCCTCGGGGACTCCGGCCAGTTCCGAGAGGCCGACATCCTCTTCGACCGAGCGCGAATCCTCGCCATCAAGGGAGGAAACAAGCACTTCTGCGCCGAGGTAAGCGATGGTCGACGGCGAGTGTCCCTCCTCTCATGCGCGCTTCAGGTCTCCTTGTACTGTGCTGAGCTCCTCAACAAGTGGAGCTCCTCCGACCCTGCCTACTCGGTTGACACCATGGCGCGTTCGGCTGAGTACGCAAGCGAGGCGGCGCAGCTGTACGAGTCCCTCGACATTGTCAACGATATCCCGACTCAAGAGAAATTCAGTCAGGTAAAGGAATTTCCTCTCTTTCCCCCCTCTCCCCTGTGCTGACGGAGCCCCGCAGGCTCTCTACTGGAAGGGGCTCAACTACTCCACTCTCTGCCGTCTTGGAGGAACTGAACGATCCTCCGCCGAAGTCTCATGCGCGACTGCCCGCGAGGCCCTCGACAAGTGCCTGAGCGTCCGCAAGGCGATCAAGGCGGCTCCTGCTAAGATCGCGGAGGTTCAGTTCGCTCGTGGTGTCTTGACCTTCTGCATGGCCGAGGCCCTAGCAGCAGGTGACATGGTCTGCCCTGGGCGCCTCGTGGGCTGATGAATGTATTGCAGGTCACATCTTCAAGGGAACTCCCAACAAGGACGAGGCAGTCCAGGGCCTCTATGCCGAGGCTCTTCAGCTCTTCCAGGATGTCTACGAGGACTGGAGATCTCGCCTCGGAGAGACGTCCTTGGAGACGGTGAAAGCGATCACGATGCTTGGAACGGTGAGCAGCAAGTTGAAGGGGCCGGAGGCTGCCATCGAGTGGTCCAAGAAGGAAGTCCAGATCCGCGAGGAGGTGCAGGGGAAACTTCACCCCCGCACCCAGCAGGCTCGCAGGAACTACGCCAACCTCTTGGAGCAGCTGTCAGGCAAGGGCGGCTCAGGCAAGCCCAAGAGCGACGAGGGCTCGGGAGGCGCGAAGCAGGCTAACTTGAGCGTGTCGCCAGTGGATCTCACCAAGAAGGCTGAAGGTCAAGCAGCTGGTGGAAAGATGGACTTGCTGAGCGGTCTGGCGCAAGCTGGGATGAAGGTCAAGACGGAAGGAGGCGAGCAGGTCGGCGCCATGAACGCCCTCATGGCAGCGATTGAGGTGAGGGAGAGGCTGGCGCGCTCAACCCCTGACTGCTTTCCCAGCGTGAGAACGACAAGAGCAAGCCGCAGGAGAAGTCCGCGGAGCCTTCCGGTCATGCCAATGCCGCTGAGGTCGAGCAGCGAGGAAAGGAAGAGGTGGCACAGCCTGCTGAATCGTCGAGCGCGACCAAGAGGAAACTCGAGTCGGACGAGGAAGACTCGGACGCCAAGAGAGAGAAGAGGAGGAGGAGCGACTCGGAGAGCGTTGCCGACTCCGAGGCCAAGAAGAGCTCAGATGTCAAGAAGGAAGACGAGCAGGCTAGCGAAGAATCAGAGGATGGCGAGGGTGGGCTGGAGATTGACGATGAAGAGGAAGAGGAGAAGGCAGAAGAGAAGAAGGCCGAGGCCAGTCAGGAGGCTACGAGCGAGCCAGAGAAAGAGGCCAAGGACGATCAGAAAGAAAGCTCCTCCGACAAGTCGTAATCATTCTCTCCTCCTCTCCCCGAGACATTTAATGATCTAAATAAAACATGGTCAATGAAGCGCTGTCTGCGCCTCATCCCGCCTCTCTTAACGTCCCTCCCTTCGCCTCTACTCGCTCTAGTGAGGTCCAGGGCATCCGAAGCCGCCAGGGTGGGACATGCAGTCAGTCTCGGTTCCTCCGCGCACGCCTGGCAGAGAGTCAAGAGAAGAGCGCAGCAGAGGAGCAGGTCAACTCACGAGCAAAGACAGAAGAGTGCTGCCCAGCGTACCCGCTAGCATCCGCCACCATGCTGCGACAAGACCGTCATGGAGGAGGTCAGGAGGGCAAAGAGAGCGCACGTGAGGCCATGGTTTGACGAGTGCATGTCCCATCGCACTTTGGGGCGAGCAGATTCGCCGCACATGGGGCAGTGGAGCTTGTACACTTCAGCTGCCAAGGCCTGGGTGGAGCCGGTGGGCCTGAGGAAAACAAAGAAAGAGACAGTGAGGAACATGGATAGAGAAGAGGAAAGGAGGGTGTAGAGGAACGATCAGGATCATGTGAGGTGAGAGAGGATCAAGTGATGGCGCAGAGGATAGACACTGAGACTATCTCTCACAGGATACAGCAGAGGCATGTAGCTAGCACGATAGCAGGTGAACATTACGTTCAGGGCAGGAGAACGATACCAAGTGAAAGCTGATGATTGCAAAGGCTGCAATGCAGACCCAGAAATCATCGCAAGCACAGGCGTACGGATATTGGTTCAAGGTGAAAGACATAGAATTAACGATCGTACAAAAACGTGTCACAATCCTAAACTTACTCCTGATCATCCTGCTCCCTCTGCTACTTTTCTTCATTTTGGCCTTTACCCTGCACCTTCACTGCTCCAGCTCCTGATCCCGCTCCTAATCCTTCCCTTTCCGCTCACTCGCCTCTTGTCCTTGCTATAGTTTTCTCTCCTCGTCTAAAAGGCTCCTGATCCTCCTCTCCACCATCAACACCTTCTCGATCTTGATCCTCCTCGTCTCCTCCTGCTCCCATTCTTCTCACCTTCCTGGCGTGTTCCTCACGCTGTCCGTCATGGGCTGCACCGCCATCAACAAGCCGAACATGGTTCTATTTCCGTGTTGCGGCGGAATGCGTAACGACAGGATAACGTAGTTTCCCTTCGGCGCGGCAAGTGGCGGCCCGGCCGATCTGACGCCCCGGGTGCCGGCAGGTCACTGAAGTTTTTGCAGACGTTACAATCAGACGAATAGAGAAGAATATTGTAACCGCCCTGGCAGATATCTCGCCGTGATCCCACAGGGGTAGTGCTGTGAGTCCTCAGTACCGGTTATATATACAGAAAATTAGGGTGGAGAGAAGGGGTGGTAATAGATTTACGATTTATTAGGAGTCGGCCCTGTGGAGTTGACAAGTGGGGTGGGGTTGTCCACTGTGCAGAGTTTATCAGGGGGGTGGGGTTGTCCAATTTCTTTCAATGAGGGGTGGGTTAAAGTCATTGTCTGGTGCTCCTAGTGCAGAAGAACTGGACTACCCCCTTTATTACTATATTGGTTAGGGGTATTCACGGTATGTGATGGGTACACTATTTCGATGTCGTGAAGGTGGGGTGGGTCTTTTTGAGTTGACCGGTGGTCCAAGTCACGTTACCTGCCAACACTCAAGGAACGACTCAACCACCCCAGCCCCATTATATACTACCCCACCCCTAAAGAAGCCAAGAAAAATGCTTCCAATGGTAGGAATGGACGGGTGGATGGAACTACCCTACCCACACCGATAAACCATTTTACACTGTCGGAGAGCAGTGCTCTATACTCTTGATTTCATGGGGGTGGCACAGGAGAATATGGGGTACTGGAATGGATTTGTAGGGTGGTCGAAGCAAAAGAAGGGTACAATGGCCGACTTAGATGGGTAGGGGTAGTGGAAAACAAATCATGAACGGGTGAAAATACAGAATAATGTAGGGGTATTTGATGATTTTGAGGGGTACACTCTCCTGAAATTGATTTCGAGGGTAGGGTTACAAAGGACGGGGTGGTTGCATGGATTCCTAGAACGAGTGGTAGGGTGATACTGGGGGCGCTCGGGATGGGGCGAAAGAAAGGGAGGCTAAGGATTCCATGGCGGGGAGGGATGACGATGGCGGCAAGCCTTCTGCTTGCTTCGCGCGCTCTTCCTCTCTTACCATCTCCTCTCTTTCCGATGCCTCTGATCATTCTCCTGTTCGTCGTCGTGCTCTCTGCCATCCCTCCCCCCTCCGTTCTCGGGATCGCTTGCGGATCGGCGGTTGTCGGGTTCTACATCCATTCCTTCTGGGGTCTAGCATGGCTCTCAGCATGGACAACATGTGCAGTTGCTGCAGCTCTAAGTGATGAGGACAAGGAGGAAGCGTCTGATGTGCACTGATGTTCTTGGCAGGCTCGGCTGAACTTATCTTTGAAGAGAAATCGGCAGGGGAGAGCAGGAGGCTGGCGATGTGCTCCTGGGCCCTCCATGCTCCTTCTTTGATGTCGATGAACATGCTGTGGAGCCTGCCGTCCTGCCTGACGCTGCTGCCGAGATTGATGTCGATGGTGTTCTTCGAGGTATCAGTTACTCCAAAGATCCTGAATAGCTTTGGATGAGTTTGTTGTCGGCAGATTGTTGCATTCTTGACCTTCATCACGATATCCTTCTTATCCATGGTGAAATCTTGTTTCTGACTTCCCTCTTGTCCCCTCCTGCTCTCCCAGTTCATCCCCTCCTCCCTTCTCTTCCTCCTCCACGGACGATGGTGGGTTGTAATTTTTTGAAGCTGGGCGAGAAGCATTTAGAGCCTTCCGAGGACAAGGATCGGGGCCACAAGGAGGAAGCAGGGATCGCGACTACTCCCGTCGTCTTCGTCGGTGGACCCAACGGAGGTTGGCTGCGCCATTCCTGCTGCCGTCATGAGCGCTTGTGATTTCGCTGTGCAGGGGAGTCGAGCTGGTTAGTGGCGAAGCTCAACTTTGCTCGACAGAGGCAGAGCTTCTCGCCGATCCTGGTGTTCAACCTGGAAAAGGAGAGCAACGAAGGCATCCTTGGGTCCTCCGACCGGCTCGCCAGCTTCGTCCAGGAGCATGTGCTGCCTGTCTACGGGCCGAGAGTTTGCCTAGTCGGTCACTCGGTCGGAGGGCTGATCTGTGCCTACTATGCTGACTTCGTGGCCCCAAGCCAGCAAGTGAAGGTAGAGACAGGCGATGCTGCTGCTGCCGATGATGATGATGATGGTGCTGGTGCTGGTGCTGGTGCTGGTGCTGGTGCTGGTGCTGGTGATGATGATGACGATGTCAAGGTTGACAAGGCTGATTTTTGCTGATGTTAAAACTTAGGTGGTCAGTGTTGTTTGCATCAGCACACCATGGAAAGGGATAGAGGAGGGCGTGTCAGGGAAGATCAAGAAATGGTTGATGTTTGGACCCAACACCTCTGCGAAGAAGATGATGGTACCTGTGTGCTTGCGACTTGTTAGGGTATGTGAGGAGCGAGCAGGTTGACTTACAAGAAAACTCTGCCGTGCTGCACAGCATTCAAGAGTGTCAGCTGCAGCCAGCTCACCTCCAGGTGAAACAGACGGAGCTGGGGAGGAGTTGGAGATGACTCTGGCTCAGAGTGCGGGGAGAGCGAGGTTTTACAACATGGCGGGGCGAGGAGACTGGTTGGTGCACCAAGGAAGGTGAGGCGCTCGAGTGAGGGAGGACGGAGGACAGTTTTTGATGGTGGGACATGCAGGCATATCATGGAGAGAAACGCGTTCTGGTGCTGCTGGCTCCCCCACGTGGGCCACTACTCCATCCTCCTCTCGCAGACAGTGTGGGACCAGGTGGGAATCAGAGCAGCGAGGATGGAGGGATAGGAGTGTGAGAGGAGGAGAACAGGCAGGAAGGACAGGGAGGAGGGGATGGTTATGTGGGATTGCAGAGTAGATCGATGAGAGCGGATAAGATACGAGTGCACGAGCAGTGAAGAGGGGGGGGGGGGGGGTCTGGAAAGGGAGTAAGAGAGTTAAGAGCAGAAAGTAGAACGAAAGTGAATAGATAGCAGAGGGCGATCGGAGAGCCAGTGGAGGGGCTAAAACGTCTCGTTTGCAGGTCCTTGTGTGGCTTCAGAATGCCTGCATGTCCAAGGGGTGGGTCGCGAGTTTTGCTTCCTCGATTTGTCCTCATGTTTTTACAGGAGCTCGGAGGTAGCGTTCAAGTGCGGGGTCAACGGGCCAGCGGAGGAGAAGGACGCCAAGAGGAAGCCGGTAGAGGAGGAGGAGACGAAGTCAAGCCCCGGGAGGCCTCTCAACTGCCAGTGTGGGAGGATGAACGGGGATGCTGCAAGCTTGGTGTGACTGGTGAGAGCGATCGAGGAGAGGGGGACCACTCCGCCCTGGCCCTGATGGCTTTGAGGCGACGGGCTGCAGGAATCGTTGTGATCCGGGTGGAGATGGAAATGTAACGTCGAGTAGGACGAGAAACAGGATGGAATGGTTGAGGAGGAGGAGGAGGAGCTAGTTTGGAGGGGTTGCAGAGGGATGTTGAAGTGCAGGAGGAGGAAGGGAAGAGGCGGACTTTTATTCTTTATGTATATTCCTGAAGGATTCTTTCATGATGTAGTAAATAACCTGACAACCAAGTTGTTATTTTCTGACACAAAGGTGAGATTGACCAGATAAGCGTTTTTTTCAGCGAGTGTCACAGACAGACTGATCGTTGGTTCCACGCAAAGACAATCGTGTGAATTCTTACGCATTCAATCTACTTCGATATACGATTGACGGCGGATCATTACTAGCAACTTCAAACTCACAATTGTTCCAAAGTTCATTTTGCTGTTTTATTCTCTTAAAGACCAAGATAACTCATATGATTTCTGTCGCACTGAAGCGATTCTCAGTTGATTACTATGGAATAAAAGCATCTGATTGAACTTTGAATATCAAGAAGATTACTTCGTTTTGAATCGCTTGCTTTGTCGAATCGGAGAAGACGCTACTTTGCAGCGATAATGTCCTGAAGTTTTCTCGATACCCTGCTCCTGACTGTGAGAATATCAGGCAACGTCTTGTCAAGATGGCATCAAAGAGCCATATCACATGGTTGGTACCTGCACAAGATTCGAAAGGATTCTTCTGATGTTTCAGGCTTTTTAGGCTTTGCGGCTTTGGAGTTTTGTACAGGCTGGCTTCTCCGATTTGCAGCCGTCTTGGACTTTTGCGCGTTTGTTGTCTGAGCTTCTTGGTTGCTTTGTGTCCTGACACTTTCAAAGGGTCAGATCAAAGAAATCATAGCAGTGCTGAAAGATGTACTTCACAGCGACTGAATGGAATCCTGTGTTGAATCCTCCGATCTGCAGGTCGTTGCTTGAGTCTCCGTAAAAATCTGCAGCAATTGTGACCGGTCTCCACGTCCAATGTTGCACACCTTCAGTCGATGGATCCATCCGAAAGTTGTGTGGGGTGAAAGTTTCGTACTCCTCGTTATGATAATAGTGCATCCGAATCGACAAGAAATATTTCTTTGCACAACAGTCAGTACTTACATGAAGCATATTGCAATACCTGCGGCAGCTCGTCCAGTGTCCCCAGCATTGCAATGAGTGATCTGACGAGAATCTCTGACGCAAGCAGTTGTGAGTTCAATACTCAGCAATTCATCCAAAGCTCTTACGGGTGTTCTGCTTGATGCTCTCGTGGCCGGGCAAGTCTTTTGCATTCTTGTTCTTGTGCCTTTGAGTTTCTATGTCCAGACTGCAGTTATCTCCGTCGTACCCAAACGAAAAGGTATAAGACTCGATGAGATCTTTTTCAGCGCATTCCGGTGAAAGGAAAATTCCCTACGACCATCTAAACTAACGAAAGCTCATTCGGAAAGTCACCAAAACAAGCCGATGAAGAATCTTCTTTTTCAATGCATCTGCAACAACGTCCACAAAACGTGCACACAACTCACGAGTGTCAATTTGAGCATACCAACAACATCCTCCTTGATCCAGCGATAGAGCGTGTCTGCTTTGGGGTTCTCAAGGTTGTTTTTGAAACGATGCAAAGTATTTCTAGCAAAAGTCAGGTCATGAAGATTTGGTTTTTACAAAGCTCACCCTGCAAACTTAACAGACTCAAAGCAATCCTTTGGGAGCAGTTTTCTGCTGTAGAAGATTTCGCACATGGAAGCAGAAAGCAGGTTCTGTTCGACATGGTCGATATCAGCGCACACGCGACCTAGGTACTTGAGTTCGAATGATCTTCCTCCTCTATCTCCTCCCCATCTTCTGCTCCTCTCCACTCCTCTCCACTCCCTCTTCTCTCCTCTTCTCTCCCTCTTCCTCTCCCTCTCATCTCCTCTTCCTCTCCTCTTCTTACTCTACATCTACTCGTCTGTGACTCACCTGCATAACAGCCTGAGATTCGCGCATGGTCACCGCGCTCGCAGTCGCTGTCGCCATGTTCGGAATGCCACAAACTTCCCTCGTCCCGCCAAAGGAAAAAAAGAAATCTTGTCTGATTTTCAACAGTTTCCCCGGCCGTGGGCCGGGAGGTTAGTTCGCTATGGGGGCAGGGTCTAGCAGGCGCAACAATGGCGGCGGGAAAGAGAAGAAGGCGGGAAGAGAAGGAGAACAGAAGGACTCTAGTGATGCGAACAAGGATGCTCAGGGAGGGAGTGGGAAGGAGGAGCAGGAGGGGAGGGAGCAGGAGGGATTCAAGAGCGCTGAGAAGCTCGCGGTTTCGGGTCTTGCGAAGTCCGAATCAGCGGTGCGGCCGAACGAGGATGCGGAGCCATCTCACCATCAAGTTGCCCACCCAGCAGGAATTGAGCATGTAAAGAGAGAGAGCGTGCATGAGCAGCACAGTGAGATCAGCAACGAGCCTGCTCCGAGGACCTCCACAGAGAAACGAAGGAGCTCGCGCGAGTCCGGACGTCACCAGAGCATGTTCGGCTTCTCCTGGATGTCGCTGTCCCGCCATTCCTCACTCAGCTCAGCTCAAGGAGCAGATGAAGGAGCAGGTGGATCGGATCCTCATGCTGTCGACGATGGCGGTGAGATGGGGGTCGACAGGGCAGGTTCGGCCCGATCCTCTCAGCGATTGAGGCTGATAAGTTTGATTGTGCTGCAGGCGCGCCCGAAAGTTTCAGAGACATGCATGGTCTGTGATATAGGGGGGAGGGAAGGAGGAAGAGAGAGAGGGAGGGAGGGAGGGGGAGAGAGAGGGAGGGAGGGAGGGAGGAGGAGCAGAGAGTCTCGTGAACTGCAGTAGGGAGCAAGGTTTTACGGAATTGACGGCTGGCTGGCTGCAGGTAGAGGCACCGCCCCCATGGCAACTGACGGAAGGCGAGAGGTGAGGAAGCAGCTTTTCTCCTGCCTTGTGCTGACGCCATCGCCCCGAAGGCTCGAGCCAAGTCGCGTCTGTCCAGCACGACAGACTCCATGCAGGTGAAGAGCAGCCAAGAAACCCACGGGCATGTGGAGGAGGAGGCGATGTGGGAGGAAGAAGCTGAGCCCTTGAGCAACGAGTGCTGCTTCACGATCAACCTCTCCCAAGGCTGGGAGGAGATGCTCGCGGAGCAGACGGCAGGGACGTGGAGGAGCCGTCTGTCGAGATGTATGGAGTTGGATGAGGGCGTGTTCGACTCGATCACGTTAGATCGTCTTGCTGTGCGAGTGACTATGGTTGCTCCCGAGCCATACTCGCTCTTTCATCGCGCTCTGCTCATGTTGATCAACCGCATGCTCCGCAACGACCTCCCCGAGACGGACCTGCTCAGGGCCGCGCTGAGCTTCTCCGTCCAGCGCCTCCCTCCCATCAACAGCTTCGATCCGGTTCCCTCCCATCGCAGCGCGGGGAGGAGGAAGAGGAAGTTCTGGGTCTACATCAGCCTGAATGTTGAGAACGAGAAGAACCTCCTTGGCAACGAGTTCGTCGACAAGCACCTGATCCCTGCCCTCTCTTGCAGGCTTCCGCTTGTGGACCTTGTGGTTTGCAACCCAAGGGGTGGACGAGGGGACCGTGGGAGAGCGGAGGAGGAGCTTCACTCTATCTTTGACCCCTCCTATTCGGCACACCGGACGACGAGGAGACGGTCCCCATCTTCCTTGCGCTGAGGGCAGACCACTATGGCTGCATCCCGAAGGAGGAGGATTGTGTGGAGGACCCGTTCTGTCTCCTCTTCCAAGACAAGATATCTGTGCAAGAGGCCGAGTTGAGATGTGCACTTGCGACTTGGACCAGCAGGGCAAGGTTCCTCGCCTTGTACTGCTGCAAGCATCGATACTCTCCGCACGTCTCCCACTCTGGGTCTGCCAGTAAGCCCTGCCATGCCGCTGTCGAGTAGCTAGCTGACCAGCCTGTGCCAGGCCCGCATGCGGCTCTGCTGGAGCAGGAGATGAGGAGGTACAAGAGCTTCCTCCACGCGCAGAGGTCACTGTGTTTGTGCAACCTCTCCGAGGACGAGAAGACTTCGCTTGTCCTCCGATCCATCGTTGATGAACTGCAAGTAAGCTCCTTTCTGCCCATAGTGCATGCTGCTCTATCCCTCTCCTGTCCGCTGCCCCCTTCTCACTATGCACTCGTTTGGGCTCTTCTCATCTCACCCTGATCTTCTTTCTCCTCATGTTTCTCTTGATCCTCCTATCTGTTTTTGCCCTGCACTCCCTCCCTCCTTCATCATCAGAAATTTCTCTTGGCATCTCTCTATTTCTCTTGCTCTCTCCTCACCCATTACGCAGGAAATCATCGAGCAGTCTTCAAACGACCCAGACCCCTCACTGACCTCACCCCAACAACCTCCACATCCACAAACTCCCTCCCAGCGCTCCTCCAACGTCATCCCTTGCGAGCCCCGGGTTGACTTCCCCTTAAACATCCAAGAAGCAGCGCACCGCAACTTTGCCGACAGTATGTGTCGCCAGGGCCCTCCGAACAGACCTGTCCTGCAGCAGCTGCTGAACGCGGTGAGGAAGGGGGAGGAGAGGATTCTGGTTACGGGGCCCGCGGGGTCGGGCAAGACGACCATCCTATCGAGATTTTCCCGGAAGATCTCGCAAGTTCTGAAGGATTCGACCGTCATTGAGCACTACGACGAAGCGTACGGCATGCAAGACAGGTAGCCGAGCGCTGTGCCATGGTACCTCGTGATGTCCTCCTTCTCCCTCCTCCCCCGCAGGTATGTCTCCATGCTCCGAAGGTTCTGCGGGTCACTCGGGCGGCTGCTGGGAGAGCAGGTGGAGGAGACTCAAGATGCGCTCCTGGGCAACCAGCTCAACTGGCTGCTGAGGAAGGTCAGTGGAGGCTGCAAGGAGGCTCGGCAGTGATCGGCCATGCTCAAAGATCGTCAAGGGAAGATCAAGACGCGTCGTCGTGATCCTGGACGTCAACGTAGGCGAACAGGGCACTAGTCCTGACTGTCTGTCCTGGTAGAAATTCTCCTGCTCTTGTTATTGCCATCGGCGTAAGGGGAGGTGTAGGGTACCGTCAGAGAGGATCAAGGGCCTCTGCATCCTGCTGACTTCAAGGAGGTCGGGCACGGACGTCAGGCTCTCTCTCTCCAACCCCGCGCTGCTCGAGGTCAAGATCAAGGGTGTTGAGAGCACAGTGAGAGTCTTGATGCAAGCATGTCGACCTGACCTGACGGAGCCGGTCAGGAGCAGGCGATGGAGATAGTGGAGAGGAGCTTGAGGACCAAGTCTCTTCACCATGTTGGTTACTTCCCTCCCATTCTGCTTGAGGGGTGGGGGAGGGGGACTGACGTTAACGTTAGGCTGGAGTCCTCGAGGAGTTCTGCGAAGCCGTGTGGCAAGCGCGCATGCCCTGCCAGCCAGGATGGATCGCTCATTGCTGCCAGCTCGTTCGATTCGTTGCCATCCTCCTCCGGGTGAAGAACCTTTCCCTCACAGCTGCTGCCCTCCAACCCGAGAGGAGGAGGACATGGGACGAGACCTTGCAAGGATCCCTCCAGCTCCTCTCCAGCGCCCTCCGGGCCCAGGGCCAGCCGCTGCACTTGCCTGTCTCCCGCCTCTTGAGGGAGGAGACGAGGTTGGATCTGGACTTGTTCCAGGCCTTCCTCGCTCTCTGCTTGCAGACGTCTTGCGGGGTGAACGACAACGTCCTCACGCCTTCCCTTGGGATCCCCTCCGTTGCCGGCCCATCAACGTTGTCCCTTCCTCTCCTCCTCCTCCCTCCACTGACGTACCGTCCTCCCCGCAGGCTGCAAGAGGGCCGTGCTGCATGTTCCTGGGCACAGTTCGCACTGATTGGCACATGCGCATCTCCCTTCTTGCAGCAGAGAGGGACTGCGCAGGTTGACGGCCTGCGGGTCAGCAACGATAGCACGTTGAGTTTCTTACAATCATGGTGGATGGCAGAGAATTTCTCCCTGAGGTGATATTCTTGCTAGGTTGCTCCATCTGCCGTCTGACCTCATGGATCAAGTCAAGCTCAGTCATCGTCGGTCCTTGATCCAGTCGCTGTCTCCTCTCATGTTGGACTCCTCCCTCCCCTCATCCTCCTCCTTTGCTGCACTTGTTCTCCTTCCTCCCCTCCGCTTTTCTCTTCTCCTCTTTCCCCTCCCCCTCTTCCGTCTTCTCCTCTTTTCCATTTTCCTCTTTCCTCTTCTTTCTTTCTTCTCCTTTTTACGCTCCCTCTCTCATTGTCTCACTTCTCTTCTGCTGTACCACCTTGTCCTTCCTCAACTTCTATCCTCTCCCTTCCTGCACGATCGTGACATCCCTTTCTCACCTCCTTGCTCCCATACTCCCATTCCTTTCTATCTCTTCTCCTCCTCTCCTCCTGTCCTCCTCTCCTCCTCTCCTCCTCTCCTCACATCTTCCATTCAGGATGATCGACTGGGACTCGCTCCCCTTGTCCCACCTCGCATGGCGCTCAGACATTCTCTTTGCTCTCAACTGGCTACCGCGCAAGATGCTGGAGGACAGGCAAGTTGAAGACTGCGCAGAGGTAAGAGCGGAATGAATGAATGCGATGAGAACGATTCTTCTTGGGATTGCTCTCCGCCTCTTTTCCTCTCCTCCTCTCCTCCTCTCCCCCACTCCTCCACTTCTCCTCTCCTCCTACCACCACCCTTTTCACTCCTCTCGTCTCTCTCCCTCTGCTCAGTTTTCTCTCCTCACTCTGCTCTTCTCTACAGCTCTTGATGGACTGGAACATTCTTGTTGCTCACATCCTCGGGGGACTGAGCGTCGTCTACATCTCGGAGCTGGAGGAGTGTATTGAAGCGTTCGACAGCGAGGGAGGAGGTTTGTGAGCAGAGTTGTTGTTGTACTTTGACATGAATGATGATGAAGCCGGACAAGTGATGAATGACGATGATGATGATGATGATGATGATGATGATGATGATGATGATGATGATGATGATGATGATGATGATGATGATGATGATGATGATGATGATGATGATGATGATGATGATGATGATGATGATGATGATGATGTTGATGATGATGATGACCTATTTTCATCGGCCTTTCTTATCTTCCTGGCATCAGAGGCGCTGACTCCCATCTTTCTTTCCAGACAGCTCAGAGGCATCACAACATCTCGACCGCAGCTTGCTGTTGTTGACCAAATGCAAACTCATCAGAAACATATACCACAAGATCCGCAATGTGAAGGCTACACAAGAAGTTTTCCTCCTGACCCAGGTCTACCACGAGCTTCAATCATTACAAGCCCTCCAACCCCTCGGCTCATCACTGGGGAAGCGTTCCAGTGACAAGGTGGAGAAGGAAGGAGACGGGGAGGAGCAGGAGAGCGAGCGGGAGCAGCAGCAGGGAGACGGGAGGCAGCAGTATCCGAGATCGGCCTTCGTCTCAGCAGAGGCGTCAAGGATTGAAGTGACGGACAGGGCAGATGGTAAGGAAGGGGGGTCGACGGGGATGGAGAACTTTGCCTTCACTCACGTAACGTTTGCCCCCAACGGCTCCTCCTTGATCAGCATCTCCGGCTATGACGGGAGGGTGCGGCTGTTCGACTTGGCGAGGAGAGAGAAGATGGACGAGATTGCAGGGCACGCGTCCACAGTCAACATGAGCTCCTTCGATTCTGCTGGGTCCCTGCTTGCCTGCGCCGCTGACGACGGCTCCCTATCCGTGTGGCAGTTAGGGAGCAGGGGGGGGGACAAGGCCAGGATGGTGGCGAGGTGCCGGTCGAGGGAGCAGGGAGACAGGGATGGACACGAGGACTCTGTTGGGAGATGCTTGTTCCATCCTGACGGCAAGCTGATCATCTCCTCTTCCGACGATCTGAGCATCAAGATTTGGACCTTCTCCTCCTCCACCACTTCCTCCTTCGCCAAGGTTGTCTTCTCTCTTGCTCCACAGGCTGGGTGTATCACCCTCCTATGTTGCTCCCTCCTTCGCCCCGTCCTCCTCTCCGGGGATGAGGAAGGAGTCTTGGATCTGTGGGACATTTCCGTGCTCTACCAGTCCAACGGTAGCCTGCAGGTCAAGGGGACCAACGTGTGGAAGAGGAGGGAGAGGGAGGAGGCAGCTTTGTGCGGCTCCTTCTCCCCTGATGGCGAGTGCTTCCTGGTCGGGCATGCTGACGGCTACCTGCTCCTCGTGTCCTCCTCTTCCTTCGACGTCCTGTCGCTCCTCCTCCTCGACGTGGTCCCTCAGTCCCTCTCCTTCTCCTCTCAGTCCTCCGCCTCCACCGCTCCCTTCCTGTGGCTGGTCTCCGACTCTGCCTGCGTGCTGGCGGTGGACTTGAAGGAAGAGGAGGAGATAGCTCGATTTCAGCTAGAGTCGACGGCTGGAGGATCGAGCATGGCGCTGCTCCCGGGCCCAGAGATGACGTGCATGTGCGCGAGAGGAGATGGCGAGCTGTTCAAGCTCAAGCTGATCGACTCCGGGAGGAGAGGGCAAGGCAGAAGACTTCACACTCGGGGCGAGGAGGAGGAGGAAGAGGAGGACGAGGACGAGGACGAGGAAGAGGAGGAGAAGGAGAAGGAGCTTCGAGACAGGGAGAGCGGGAACAGCGTTGTGAGGATAGCAGGAGAGAACGTGGTCGGCGGATGCAAGCTCCTACATCTCCACTCGGGTCCTGAGTTCATCCGCCTTGAGCGGATCGGGCAGTGCGGGCGATCAGCGTCAGTGAAGTTCTTCCTGTCAGCTCCTGACATCGAGTCGCGCGAGCATGTGAACCTGAGCGGGTCGGTGGAGTGGAAGGAGGGAGAGGGAGAGGACAAGCTCCTGTGGTTCGCTGTTGACGATCCGACGAGCTGTCAGGAGGCCACTGTCTTCACGCAGGATGAAGGAGGAGGAGGAGAGGAGGAAACGGCAGGAAGAGAAGATGGTGGTGAAGGAGGAGGAGAGCTGAAGTGTATCACTGCCAAGGTAAGCTTTCTCCAGCCCCTCCACCTCCTGACACTTGACACCTTTAAGATCGTGAAGAGGGGAGCGAGGCAGAGGGTCCAAGGGCGAACGATCCCTCTGCAGATGTACAGCGAGGAGGAAGAGGAGAGGTGGGGCTACGTGGAGAAGCGAGTCGTCCTCCTCGACCTCTCCGTGGTCGAACAGCAGCTGCAAGCTGTCTCCCCGTGCTTACCTGACGTGCTGGAGGGCCTCAGGCGTTTCACATCCGCCCATGTTGCCAAGGCTGCCGATCACAACGCGCTCGCTGTCCTCTTCCTCTCCCACCGCAGGCCGCAGGATCTCTTCCCGCCCCACGAGCAGCTCCCCGACCTCCTCCTCCTCGTCGCTGAGGGAGGGGGCGCCATCAACATGCGCGCAGCGACGACTGTGCTGATTGAGCCAGAAGACGCGAACTACTACTTCTTCCTGCAGACTGGCTACCTCCCTCCCTCCCTCGTCCTCCTGCTGCCTGGGGAGACCATGCAGCTGGAGCTTGTAGCTGCGGAGGGAGGATGCGAACTAGATGAGGGCGCGAGGACAATGAAGTTGAAGCTGGTTGAGGACGAGAGGTGGATCGAAGAGTACGAGCACGAGCACGAGCACGAGCACGAGCACGAGGCAAAAACTGCGAGGAGGATTCAGAAGGAGGACGTGGGTGACTTTGCTCTGTCCTCCCCTCCTGACTTTGCTGCAGGTGTCACTTGCTGCTGCCTTCGTTCACACGACCCATGAGCTCGAGGCGATCAACGGGTGGAGGACGAGGATGGAGGAGGAGATGAGTCGAGCTGAGAGGAGGGGAGAAGAGAGGAGGAAGCTGCAGGAGAAGATCGATCGGGTGCTATGGCTGCGCAAGATGGAGCGGATGGTCGAGGTCAAGGCGAGGATCCTGAAGAGCATGCAGACGAGGAGGATGAGGAGGGAGGAGAAGAGGGAGGAGGCAGGTGCGGGAGGAGCAGGAGAAACAGGAGCAGGAGCAGGAGGAGTGGGAGCAGGAGTGGAGGAGCAGGAGTTGCAGCAGCAGGATGCTTCTGTGGTCATGTCGTCTACTGCGATCAAGGTCAGCAGCAGGAGGGTAGAGGAAGAGGAGATGAACGTGACCACAGGAAGCGGCGCGGACAAGCGGCAAGGAGGAGGAGGCGAAAGGTGCAGGAGAGAATGGAGCAATTATCCCTGCTACCCACCCTGCCTCTGAAGGAGCTCTTGGCAAGGATGTTGGGGTCGACCGGGGAGGAGAGGAGGACGAGGGAGCAGAGGAGGGAGAAGCGAGGCTGTGGAAGGGAGCGATGCCGGAGGGGCAAGAGGAGGAGGATGGAGAGGACAAGCTGTTCGAGGCCAACGACGTCTCCATCTCCTTCAAGAGGGTTCCCTCCACCTCCAAGCAGCTCGCCGACAGGATAGAGGCAGAGCTGATGAATCGATTCCCGTGGAGGAGGACGAGAAAGGACCTCGAGGTTGATTGCTCTTCCCTCCTCCCTCTCCCCTCTGCCGTCTCCCCTCTCCCCTCTCCCTCTGCCGTCTCCCCTCTCCCCTCTCCCGTCTCCCCTCTCTCAACTCCCTTCCTCCAGCCTCCTCATCCTCCTTCTGGTTTCACTCTCTCAATCGCCGTTTGACCTCTCCTCTCCTTCTCCTCACGTTTTTCGCACTTTGCCTGCTCCTGCTCCTGCTCCTGCTCCTGCTCCTGCTCCTGCTCCTGCTCCTGCTCTGCTCTGCTCTGCTCTGCTCCTGCTCCTGCTCCTGCTCCTGCTCCTGCTCCTGCTCCTGCTCCCTCCTGCTCCTGCTCCTGCTCCTGCTCCTGCTCCTTCTCCTTCTCCTGCTCCTGCTCCTGCTCCTGCTCCTGCTCCTGCTCCTGCTCCTGCTCCTGCTCCTGCTCCTGCTCCTGCTCCTGCTCCTGCTCCTGCTCCTGCTCCCCTCCTGCTCCTGCTCCTGCTCCTGCTCCTGCTCCTTCTCCTTCTCCTTCTCCTGCTCCTGCTCCTGCTCCTGCTCCTGCTCCTGCTCCTGCTCCTGCTGCGGATGATGATCACTCACTCTCCCTCAGCCAGGCTTCAGCCGCCAACCTCGTCCTCCTCTCGCTCAAGACTTCTCCCTGGTCCTCAAAGGATGGGCGAAGGCGCAGGCAGGAGCGGAGGAGAAAAGGAGGAAAGTTCCTGCCATGGTGACCCACCTTGTGGTGCTCTTGATAGCCAGCTGACCTCGTGCTGAAGGACTTCCAAGGGGTGGAGAGCTGGTGGAAGGAGGCGGCGAGGGAAGAGGAGCTAGAGGAGAGTTCGATCAAGATCAGCGGAAGGGATCAGTCGGAGGAGAGGGAGGCGCTAGTGCCGGCTGGTAGATGACAGGAAGCGACGGTGATGAGCGAGGATGGAAGGCTGGACGCAGGAGGTTGTGAGGAGGAACAAAGGGGAGGAAGGTATACAGGAAGGACAGGGGAGTGAAGGGTGTGCGGAGGGGGAGGGAGGGCTGGGGGAAGGACAGGAGGAGAGGAGGGGGATCAGGAGGAGGAGGAGGAGGAGGAGGAGGCGTCGTAGAGTTTCAAGTCTATTAAGAGGAAGAAGATGTCATGGGTACACTCAGATCGCACGCGAGGAAGAGGGGCGTTGCTGTTGCCCTTCCTCCTCCCCTAGCATCCCATGAGAGCCTTCTCCTCGGGGGAGGGCCCAACGCTACAGGAGGGGACGCAGACTGGGCTGTGGGGGGAGATGGTGAAGTCCAGGGAGGACATGGGAAGTTCCGGGTTCATCATCTGGAGATCCTTGAATGCGGTCCTGAACCTGCAGGAGACTGTCCTTGCCGCCTCCTCGTTGTCTGTAGAGTACATAGTCCCCACCCACAAGGCGACCTTCTGGAAGGGAGAGACGGAGCTTGCGAGGACGGAGCGATCGCTGATGACCGGTACGCTGTTCGTCGAGTTCCGCTCGCAGTCCAGGTAGTCCTCGCAGAAGGTCCCAAGGTTAAGACGCGAGTCGGCGTTGAGAGTCCATACCCTCATCCAGTTGGTCTTGAGCCCGAAGGTCCCCAGCAGCTCCCCCAGCACGTTCTCCTTGCTCACGCAGTACCGGCACTTCTCCACCAGCACGTTCACGCACACGTCGCTACATCGCCCGGTGCCGCAGTCTGCGTCCACCGCGCAGTTCTTGTTCCCGTCCTCCCTGCAGATCCCCTTGGACGAGAAGCTCAGGCTCGTGCTCCCCACAGCGAAGCATGCCGTCACCAGACGCCCCTCCGACCCTCTTGCGGGCTTGAAGAGGAAGGTGGAGGTGGAGCCTGACTGCACTGTCTCCAGCACAACATTATGCGACGTTGCGTTCTCCCATATCACGCTTCCTTGTGCCGAGTAGTCAGCAAGCTGAAGGATCGGTGTGAGGTCCAGCGACAGGGTGCATCCTACTAGCGCCTGCAGCGGCTCCGTCGACTTGACCATCCAGTCAACCAGCGATCCCGCCCACTCGAACTTGAGCTGCACGAGCTCCAGCTCGACGCAGTACCTCTCGCCGTTCCACCCCCTGGACGAGGCGTCGGGCAGCCTCCCGGCGCACGCCGTCGAGTCGTCGGTTGCCACCGCGCACAGCCTGAACTTCTTGCCCATGTCAGCGTTGTCGGGAGTCCAGGTGATCTTTCTCTGCGCTACGTTGCAGCTCGAGTGGCAGAGGGAGTCGCAGGTCGAGCAAAAGGTGGTGGTGGAGGGAGACGGAGCAACGCACGTCGACCTCTCCACCGACACCCCCGTGGGCGGCAGGCCCGGGTTGTCAAGGATTAGGATCTGCACGTGGTCCTCCGGGTTGGGGTCCATGGCCCTCAAGTTCAGCTCCACCTTGAAGCCGACAGGAATCTGCAGCCTCGCCCGCACGTGCAACCCCTCGGTGAAGTCATAGTCGAACATGGAGGGCTCGGTGAAGGGAGAGCATGGGTAGGTGATGGTGGTACCCAACCGCACTGGCAAGCAACCCTCAGGGCTGGTAACGAACACGGGAGGGGCTTGTGGCATGATGTTCCAGCACTGTGTTGTCACGTAGCTCCCAAGGTTGTGGAAGTACAAGTTCTCGTACTCCCTGTTGGCCCATCGGCGATAGCGGAAACGGCTGTTGTCATAGGCATGCGCACAGACTGTCCTCTTTGTGTTCAGAATCAGTGCCCTCCGCGTCATCCCAGTCAAGCTGTGGTTGTCGAACAGCACAGCGCTGCCTCCCTTCTCGTCGAGCTTGAACAAGATGGTCTGGCTCGCACGGTTGCTTGCGCTGAAGCTGACGTTGGGGGACAGTGAGGCGTTGATGGAGCTGTCCAGGGAAGCGTTGTACAGAACTCTTGCTACGATCTGGTTCATGTTGTCCCCCGACCTGCCAGCGTTGAAAGCTCCGAACTTCCCACAGCCGTTGGCAGGTCCAGCAAGGTCTGAGAAGAAGGACCCAGGCCCAGGAGACGCATCGTCGACAAAGATTCGCACCTGCTCGCCAGCATCGCTGTCAGACGCGATCAAGTTCAGTCCTAGAGGCGCCCCGAGGCAGGCCGGGTATGGCACGTTGCCCGGGCCCTGGAGGGAAGAGCCTGGCGATTCAAAGACAGGAGAGTGACCGATGATGTTCATACGGAAGCAAATAGGTTTCGATACGCACGTGCCAGGCGAATACGTGGCGACGGCCACATAACAGAAGACATACGACTTTCCAATGTCAGCCGTTGTCAAGGTGGGCAAGCAGTTCAACGTTGACGGAGGAATGTAAGTGCATCGTCCCTCGCAGGCAGGAAAGTCTGATTCTGTTTTGAGAGCGCAGGCAACACAGTAGCCATCGGCTGGCTGAATGCTGAGCGAAGATCCGGTAGTAGTCGTGACGTTGGCTTGCAGTTTGACAAGGCAGTCTGCGTGAGAGTTGTCATTCCATATGCAGTCTGCTTTAGAGGGAGAGTAGCTTGTCAAGAATGGAATTTGGGATGCTGTACATGCTGTCTGGTCATCGATGTATATAATAGCTTCTGTGGAGCTGCTCCCGGAGTTGCCAACAGCATAAGAGATTTGGTTGTCGCTCGGTTCGAGGTCGACGAAGGGAAGGTCTGTCGCTGTAAACCTTACCTTTGACACACCACTGGGAATGGAGCTGAGCGTGAAGTTCCAGGCGGCCTCTGAGGTAGAGAAAGTCCTTACATTGCCACCATTCACGTTATCTGCAACCTTCACAAAATGCCCGTCCATGTCAGTCACGTGCAGCGTTACGTACGAAGGGCCAGCGCTGCTCCGGACGATCCTCCATGGCAAGCTGAAGTAAGCCGAGTAGAAGTTTTTGATGCTGCTGGCCGAGCAGCTCTGCGGGTTTGTGCTGGGACAGCTCTTGCAACACAAGACGATGTTCGAATTGAGTGTGTCACTACCCAGATCGACGGTAATGACCCCACTTGTCGCTTCGTCCGGGACGTTGTTCACTGATGCGTACCAAGAGAACTCCTGATTCGTCTTGCCAATCAACTTTCCGTTGATCGCAGATTCCGAACCGTTAGCAGGCTTCAGACTGGAGGGTTGGTACGTCACAGTATAGGCGAAGGATCCACTGCAGTTTTTCGACCATGCCCCGTTCACAACAAGACTCAACTGACGGCTCGAGTCGGTAGAAAATCGCCACGACAAGCCTGCTCCTATCCATGAGCAGGCGCCATCGCAGTGTGAAGCAGAAGCCACCAGGAGGGCGAACAAGAGAGCCTGGCTCGCCATGGAAAACGTCATCCTCCTTCCTCGCTTCTCTGCCTCTGCCTCTCTATCTATCTCTGTCTCTGCTGCTATCTGTCTCCTCTTATCCTCTCATCTCATCCCTCCCTGCCGCCTGAGGCTTGGCGACGCCATTTCGCTGACTTTCTCCGTGCATTGCCCCTCCGCTGAAGAGCTACCAGCTTTGCAGCCACCCACCCCTCAATGTCCTCTCAAAAACACCAACCTACCCTCAGTATTGCACATCCGATTTTGACCCCCTCTTGGAAGTACCCCAATTCCATCGGGTGAAAGCAGTACCAATACCCCCTCACGAACTACGTCAGGATGTCCAGGGGGACCCCCCACCCACCCTATTTGAACCCACCCGGGACTCTCTCACACTTCAAGTTGTCAAGGTCATGGTACAAAATATCTGAGGCGGACCTGAGCTCGGACTCCGGGCCGACCGGGCCGCAGCCCGGCGGCTTCCGACTGACTGAGTCAATTATAATGGCTAATATCTGGTAGTACCAGCAGATGATTTAAAGTTTTAAAAAGGTCCTCACTTCGTACTAATATCATTACCATGGTACCAGCGAATACAGGCTCAACAGATTTATTTCGATACAAACATGATTCTTTATAAATATATAAGTTGTTACATTTACCTTCAATAAGGTACCGTCAATAAGTTCTATTATTGGTTACAGGTACTGTCAATAAGTTTCCAATATTATCTTTTTGAATCTCGATCGAACTCCTACAACCACCCCCATCCAGTCTCACTACCCTACCTTGTTCCTCCCCCCACCCACCATTCCTCCACCACTCACCCGTACTTTTGATATGCCTTAGGTGGGTTATCGTACAAATAATTGATCCTACCCCTCCCTGGTCATTTCCACTGTCCACCCCAACTCATAAACCCCTAGCCCCCCGCTAGCCCAGGCTTCTCTGCTACATGTCATCACTCCCAACACCCCTACAATTGCCTACATAAGTACCCGTACTTTGGCTGAATCTGTGGGTACCCACCCTGTCCTAACGCTTCAATTGTTCGCCCCACCTTCCAGCCCCTACCCCCCAGGTGAGGGTTTTGACCCTTCAACTGAGGGGTGTCATACGATGGTCCACCCACCCCCTGTTCATTTGTACCACGAGTGTTTAAGTCATATATATTGAGTGATTCTTGCGGTTTTTTTCATGCCGGCGTGAGTCAGGACCCTGCAGCCATGGAGGCTGGCGGCAGGAGGACGAGGAGGACGAGGACAACAGGGAAGAGGAGAGTAGAGGACGAGACGAGGAGAATATGATGGTGTCGACGACGAGGGTGGGATAGTATTCCTGAGCGACAGCCGGAGCAAGAGACCAGATGGGAGGAAAGTGGAGGACGTGGGGGGGGGGGGGGGGGGGGGGAGTAGGCGAGGGTGAACGGGCTTGCTAACCCAACTGAGCATCTTGCATGACTTTGTTAGTATCTCTCTTGCATATCTTCCCCCACACCGCAGCTCCTGCGTTTTGCCTGCACCATATTCCTTCTTTTTGAGCCAAAGCAAACGCAAAGAATGGTTATGGCAACGAATCGCAGTAGACCCTTGAGAGCATAACCAGCTCTGCTTGTCTTGATGCAGTGTGTCACCTGCTGATCATCGAAAGATTCATTCTCTATATCTGACCATGTCTCTGCAGGCTCCTTCAGACTCGTGCTTCCTCTAACCCAGGCTCCATTATCGCGGGGTTCACTGTTGAGGAAATGATGCACGACAAAGGGAAGAAAGCCAAGAAAAAGACGCAGAAGAAGGTTGTATCGTCCCCGGATACACCAGAAAACACCTCTCACATCAGCAAGGATGAGGTGGACGCCGAAGAGTCTTCGTTCGAACAGGATCAAGATCATGCGCCGGACGGCGTGATTTCTCCTCCGCACAAGGAAGTGTTGGAAGAGGATCGCCCGGTCGTCGATCACTCCAAGGAGAATGGCTATGCACCTGAAGCAAGCGACCCAGAAAACAACCAGGACAGCCATGAGACTGCAGTGAAGAACGCCGGGCTAGACACGCCTCCACCCGAGCAGCAGGAGGGTGATGCCGAGGGTATGAATGAGGCAGCCCCTCAAGCGGTGAACGCTCCTCCTATCCCCGAGAACGATGTGCATCCTAACAGCCATCTGGCGGTTACTCATGACGATGCTGTGCTGAATGCTGCAGGGGACGCGGACGTCGCCTCTGCACAGGGGCTAACTGAAGATCCTTCAACCGGGCAGGAGAGTCCGGGACATCAGCAGCACATGAACCCTGAGGTTTTGTGCCCGACCGAGAGTGGGGAAACGTCGACGGGAGTGCAGATGTACGTGGATACAGGGAGCCAGGAACAGGCTTATGAAGCCCAAGGTCAACAGGATGTAGCCAATGAGATGATGGGAGACGCGAGCTGCTTGTTCTCGCCGTCAGAGAAAGACGACTTCTTCGGGATCGCGTCAAACGGGGACACGCCATTCATGCTGAGCCAGCAGGAACAACCGCTTGAGGCTGAGAGGGCAGCAGAGGAACATGCCCAGGTGCACTTCCAGTCAGAGCAGGTGTATGCAGAACAGGCTCAGGAGCAGCAGGCGCAAACCATCCCGCAGAGTTTGCCGGAGAGCTCGGGCTGGTCTGCAGCTCCGATTGACGACGCCAGCAAACTTTTCGGAGAGTCCCAGGGATGCTCGGACGATTTCTTCGGAGGAAGCTACCAGGGGGCTGCGGAAAACGTCGGACAAACTCCGACGTTGCCCTATCAGGTTGCCTGCACTCACGAAAACTGACCTGCCAACTGAAGTTTGGTCGCAGGATCAGGTGCAGAACGCTGCACCACCGACCATGACCCCGCAGCAGCCGCCAGCTGTTGTCACAGCAGCACAACAGGGCCCGTTCGATCAAGTCGGAGGCGCAGGTGCATCGAGGGTGGCCAACGACGTCAGCGAGCTGTTTGGCCCGGTGTCGAATGACGGTGAAGAGACTTGAAATGCTGCTGACTGATGCGTGACGCTGCTGTTTCTGCAGTCCCTGACCTTTTCGGGCCTCCAGCTGAAACTCAAGAATATTCTTTCTTCGACAACCTCGCCACCCAGTATCAGCAGCCCCCCGCAGCCTACCAGCCTCAGACCTTTCCTGCCGACCCATCCACGTACTACGCTGCTCCCAACAGCATGCCCTACCAGGATCCAAATGCCTTTTACTCACAGCAGCTCCACGAGCCTGCGCCATATCACATGGAACATCCACAGCAAGTCCAGGGGCACTACGCCCCTCAAGATTACCAGCATGTTCAAGGTCATTACCCTCAGCAAGACTACCAGCAAGCTACGTTTCAGAGCGCCCAGTACCAGGGCAGCTACGATGCTCAACAGGCGTATCCCTTCCAGCAGGCGGAGCAGAGCGTCGGCGACGGGCTCTCAGTTCATGGGTCCAGCGAGAGTGTTACGAGCGAGTCTAGCCGATACCTCTCGGACCCCACCTCCCACTTGCAGAGCAGCAGCATGCCGCCCTCTGTGTACAATGCAGAGCAGTACTCGCAAGGGTCGACGGCTCCTTATCACATGCAGGCTGGGCATCACAACCTGGCGCAGGAGTCACACTACAGCACCGGCAGCTTTGCAAGTCAGGGAAGCGAAGGAGACGCCAGCGCCTCGAGCTCGCATCCTTCACAGCCATACACTGGCCACTTCCAGCCCGCTGAACAGACGCAGGCTCCCGTGAGCTACGACGCCACGACGTACAGCGCGTATCCAGCACAGGGGAGCCATCCAGGGATTCATAGCGCCCACGGGTCGGCAGGGGAGCAGCACCTGGAGCAGCACGCCGCTGACACGCTTGCTAGCTGGCAGCCATCGAACGAGGCTGCTGCTCACAACGACGAGCCGGCGATCGAGGCGACGCAGCTGGTCGAGGACCTGCCGTTCCCATGGCAGGCGAGCATGCAGAGCCCCGATGACGGTGGGGGAACTTACCTGAATGACGGCAGGCACACCTTGATCCCAGCACGGGCTGCATCTATTACTTCAACACTCAGGTTGGGCTACTCGAGGCTCCTTTGGCAGGTCGTGATGTCTTGCTCGCAGACTGGATTCTCGTCCTGGGAGCCTCCGACTCAGCAAGAGATCGAAGATCAGGTAGGATCTTTGCCCTCCCCATCCCTCTCCTCTTCCTCTCCTTCCTCCACCTACTTCTCGCTCCCTCCCTCGCTCCCCTGACTTCTCTCCAGAGAAAGCTGTTGCAGCAGATGCAGTTCTCTACATACGAGCAGCAGCAGGAGCAGCATCATGCCGACCAAGTAGACGACCGGGTCAACTTCCATCATCACGCTCAGGCTACCAGCTACGGCCACTACGGTCAAACCGATGGGATTGTGCAGGGCGCCATGAACGCGGTGCATTATGATGCCCCCAAGGCAGATCCGACGCACGCGTACCCGCACTACAGCATGCAGACTCCCGCCGCTGCCGCCTCGCACGTCAGCACGGAGCGATCCAGCCGCCCCACGTTCCCAGCCATCTGCTTCGGGTTCGGCGGCAGGCTGGCTGTCGTCTTCCCTCGCGTCAAGAGGAACCTGAGCGTCTTCAGCGGGCGGAGTGAAGAGCTTGACCAGCAGGAGGTCGTGAAGCCCAGCCCTGTCAATATGTACAAAGTAGAGAAGCTCTCCTTCGTCCTCCCGCTCTACCGCGAGCTCGAGAGCTTTCCGGGCCCTCTGAGCCCTTCCAAGGACACCAAGGCCAAGGTCAAGGCCTTCATAGCGGAGAAGATCGCCGGGCCTCCTATCGGAGAGAATGACTGGTCCGTCAACCCGGAGACGATGAAGCTGCTCTGGATCCTGCTGGAGACGCTGGTGGACGGGAACGGGGACCTCTCAGCGGTTGGCGAGACGTCCAAGGTGACTGGGCTGGAGCGCATCGTCCAGTGCCTGCGGGACCCGGGGTTGGTGGGAGATCAGTTCACCAATGGAGGAGGGCAGGGGCAGCTGGGGGGCAGCGCAGGGGCGGACCTGATGATCACTCGCTCAGCGGCGAACGAGGCGGCGGCGCAGGGGGCGCTGCTGGAGATGCAGGAGCTGCTGCTGCAGGGAAAGAGGGAGGAGGCGTGCCAGAAGGCCGTGGAAAACGAGCTGTGGGCCCCCGCGCTGCTGCTGAGCAGCTACATGAACATCGAGACATACACAAGGGTGATGGGAGAGTTCGCCAAGAGCAGCTTCCGGGTCGGCTCCCCTCTGGGGACGCTGTACATGCTGTTTGCAGGGCAGGGGACGCACTTGTTCGAACAGGACTCCATCGAGTACCTGACGGACTCGTGGCAGTGCAACCTGTGCGTCATCCTCAACAACCGCACGCCTAACGACAGCACGACCATCCTGGGGATCGGGGACGCGCTGTGGCAGCTGCGGTCGGATGCCGAGGCTGCCCACCTGTGCTACGTCCTGTCAGGCCACGAGATCGAGCACGTCGACTCGCCCAACTGCCGCATCGCGCTGCTCGGAGCTGACCACCGGGCCCGACCCCACAACTTCTGGTGCGCCCCAGCGATCCACCGGACGGAGGTGCTGGAGTACTCCAAAAGGATGAAGAACCACAAGGCCTGCCTCCATGCCCTCCTCCCTTACAAGCTGGCCCACGCCCAGCTGCTGATCGAGCTGGGCCTGCACAAGAAGGCGATGAGGTACCTGGAGAACATCCTGGAGGCGGCGAAGGCGTGCAAGACCGGTATGATCTCCCAGCGGCTTGTGTTCGAGGCCGAGATGCTCGAGCTCCGGCTGAGGACGCACATGGGGGGCAAGGCGGCGTCCTCGTCCTCGATCTCCGGCTCTCTCTTTGGGGGCCTCAAGAAAGTTCTCGACTCGGCAGTCACCTCGGCCATCTACGGGAGCCAGCCGACGGGCGGCCACATGCCGCAGCCTCCGACTCAAGCTCCCTCGGAGAAGCAGAGAGCTGCTGCTGTGCAGGCTGAGAAAGAGAGGATGGTGCGGGAGCAGAGGAACGCGGCGGCGGCGGCGGCGGCGGCGGCGGCCGAGGAGGAGAAAGCAAGGGCCAAGGAGCAGAGCAAGATGAAGCGAGACTCGTTGGCAGAGGCCAAGGCGGCGAAGAAGCACGAGGAGGAGGGAGGGGAGAAGAAGGGAGGAGGGCTGCTCTCCAAGCTGTGGGGAGCGGTGGCAGGGGAGAAGCAGGTGGATCTGGGAGACGACAACTCGTTCTACTTCAACGAGAAACTTGGCCGATGGGTGGAGCGAGGGAAGGAGAACGAGGTTCGTTCCTGTCCTTGTCCTCCTTTTCAGTCGTCTGATGCGTTCGCAGGCGGCCAGCGACCCGTCCAGTGCTCCTCCTCCCACCATGGCGGCGTTCATGCAGCCAGCGGGCCACAGCGCGGAAGCTCCGACGGGCATGCCGACCATGAACGGTCAGGGACCGCAGGCGCCCATGATGCCGGCAGCTGGAGGGATGGGGCCTGGCGGTGCAGGAGGCAACATGTTTGCCAGGCAGACTCGATCGGGAGCTCGCAGCCGCTACGTGGATACTCTGAACCCCAACGCTGCAACGGTGAGGACTGTACCCCTGCTCCTCCTCATTCTTTTCGTCTTCATTTGGACCGCCTTCTCTTCTCTTCCTCCTCCTGCTGATCGTTCGCATCATCATGATCATCATCATCGTCATCATCATCATCGTCATCATCATCATCATCATCCCACTCATCCCACTCATCCCACTCATCCCACTCATCCCACTCATCTGTACTCTTGTTCTCTCCTCTCACCTGTCGACTTTCACAGGCCAACCAGACTCCAGCTACAGGCATGATGCCCGCAGTAGGAGCGGCAGGCAACATGATCGCCGCCAACAAGGACGCGGCGAAACCCAAGTACAAGATCTTTGTGCCCAACCAGAATGCCAGCAGCGGGCAGAACCAATAAACCGTGGCTTCCGGACGGTCAGTAGTTGCCCAGGCCTTCAACGGCGGGCCGCCGCGGGTCGCTGGGCCCGGGCGGCCGAGGCTGAGACCCCCCCGCCGCGAATCCGATCGTTGATCGCCGCCCGGCCGAAGCCAGAGCCACTGAGAGACTGAGTCGGACTGCCGCACTCGGGGGCACCGTCACGGGCGTCCCGGGCTGAGTCCACTCCGCCCGGCCGGGCCGCCCGGCTGAACATGATGGACCCTGGGTGGTCGAAGTGCCCCCTGTAGTACCCCTACCCCTCCCTACCCTCCCTTCCAGTGTAGAATTTTGACGTTAACGATCAACGAAGAACCCCATTGAGTAAGGCTTGGACCCCCTGAGAGATATACCCCTACCCCATTTTCATCTAGAAAATTACTATCATATAGGGGTGTCTTTACCACCCCCACCCCTTGATCAGCCTCCTGAGTGCATCGAGTACACGGCAATGGATCTTGTCAACAGGGTCCTGAGTGAGCCAGCAGCCCGTGTCACCGGTGCTTCAGGAAGTACCCCACCACACCAAGTGTAACATTCGGGAGTATCCCCTACCTATTTTACATAGTCTGAGTGCAAGCCAGGTACCTTAGGATATACCCCGGGACCCATTGACTTCAGTGGACTACCCCTTCGAAAAGACCACCCTACCCATTTGCTGAACTCCCCTTTCACAAGACTGCAGAGGCGCGATGGCAGCAGTGGTTACTTCAACAGGTACAGCATGCGATTCTGCCATGGAAGGGTCTGCATCTGCTTCCTCCTGTGACATGTTTGTCCTCTCTCGCATATCTGTGTTGTTCCTGTCACCTTGTACTGTGAGTTTTCCTTCTGGCGAACGCTGTAATCCATCATGTGCAATCTGCATTTTCAATCCGATTCGCACCCGTTTTTACTCGTGAGAATACTGTTGCGACCGCTGAACTTGAATCATCCTGCTCCTCTCAACATGGTTGTGCATCCACAGTCTTCATTCGACTCACATGTCAAGGAACGAGTCCCAGGCTATCATGTATCATGTTTCGATTCATATGGAGATCAAGTATTGGTAGCATTTCATGTTGTTCCTGGCACAATCAGTCATTATCATTAGTCTTCAATGTCTCCGCCCCATCATTCCATGAAATTTCTTCTCCCCATCATTCCTCTCACTGAGTCCGTTGATGGATGGCCAGCAGGATCTAGCGCCCAGTGGGAGGCAGCGAACGCGAATGCAGAGCTTTTCTACAGAAACAAGGAGTTGGTAAGTCAGGATGGCATCAGTGGTGGTTGGAGCCAATCGATGATGGTTTCTTTTCAAAGGTTCAAGTTGCGAACAAGCTGAGGGAGTCGCAGAAGAAGCTCGATCACGCTAGGGCGTGCCTTGTCAACCAGCAGGCCTTGAAGCAAGAAGAGCAGTTCCTCAAGCAGGCTATAGTGAACCAGAGCAAGGAATATGCCGACCGCCAGCAGGACATGGAGAAGAGGATTGCAGACCTGGAGGCCAGGCTGAAGGAGATTGAGGCCGACTCCAAGAACACCGAGCAGTACAAGACAGAGCTCGAGAACTACCAGAAGGACATTATGCAGCATCGCCAGTCTGTCGTAACCATCGAGCAGGTTCATTCGTGCTCTAGGCAGAGCCGTTGCGCTCGATCAACCTGACATGCTGCCCGAAGTCCCTGAGCGAAGCCTACCGCTTTGAAGCAAGGAAGTCTGAGTATGGGATGATCATTGAGAAGTATTCCTTCAACTCGTGGCTGGAATGAGTGGAGTTGACTGGAATCTTTAGGAAGCAGAAGGAGCTGGAATACCTTGAGAAACATGTCAAGGATATCAAGGAGGCGAATGAACGCGCACAGGCGGCCAGCGTAAGTGCTTTACCCCGACGTTCTCTACCCGATCATAATGTGATCTGTATAATTTCGTTCTCTCCCTGGCACACATCCTCCTCCTCCTCTCTGATGATTGGATAACTTTGTTGCACTCTCTAGTGCGTAACTCTTGTCTTGTGTGTGTACTCAGTCGGATTTTGCACAGGCTGGAGTGAAGGGCAAGATCGATGAGTTCCGCTCCGTCGAGGGAGATCTGAACCGCGTCGTTGGGGAGATCGATGCCCTCGAGTTCTGCTTGGTGAGCAATTTTACCTTCTTTCTGCGAGACAGGCAGCTCAGTCATGTTCGTGCAGGGCTACAAGGGCTCAAACTCCGTGCCTGATCTCACCAAGGTTGCCTAAGTTGACTCGGCGGGAGGGAGGCGCTACCTTTAGTTCTTATGTTCCTGTTCCGTCTTTCCCACATACAGTCTGTGCTTGCGGCGGGCCCGTGGAATGTCGAATAAACTTTAGATTCTGCGACTTGTGTCGTACATACTGTCGGAACTTTATTGCGGCGAATAAATGTTCTAGGCTATGCTTACAGACTGAGCCACTGACGTACGGTCCGATCCGCCTGCCACTGCCCGGGCACTGGTCTTGTTCGGGCACCGCTTACGGTACTCCGAGTGCGGCGGGCCGCCGCTGAACCGGCGTCGGATGACTGCCGCTGTGAGCCTGCCAGTGCGCCTGAGTCGCTTGGCTCCGAGTCACTGTCTCACCGGCGGCAATCCCCGGCCCCCGGACGGCCCGGTGAGTCCGTCGGCCATATCACTGAGTCGGAGGCGGCGCTGAGCCTCGGAGTCACCCACTGCGGCCGCTCCGAGCGGCGGCAGTGTGGCACACTGAGGCCGAGATGCCAGTCACGGTGCCGGGCGGCCTCAGAGTTCCGACACAGAGACTGAGACGCCGGCGTGCCACGCCGCGGCCAGGCCGCCGTGTACCGTACGGTCAAGTTACCCGCGGCGGCCCCCCGGCGGCCCCCCCGGGCCGGGCCCGGGCGGGCCGGGCGGCCCGGCCACAGTGACTGAGTCCGCAGCCGGGCCCCGATCGGTGACCGCCGCGCGGCCCGGCCGCCGCCCCCGGCGGCCCGGCCGCCCGCCGCCGCGGTGAAGCCGGAGGCCGCCGAGTGTGCCTTCTGAAAGTTGCCTTGCCAGTCCTCAATTGAAGATGCCCGGCGCAGTTAGTGGCCTCGCGGAAAAAGTTAACTGGGCAAGTCACAAGTTGAGTTTTCTCTTCTCGCTGTTTGGCCTGTGCGACAGTCACTGAGTGTGACGGTGAGGCGGCCCTCCGAGACTCGACACCGTGACTCTCCTGATTGTCCTCGTACTGATTTTTAACTTAACTTTGAGTAAAGGGTATTTACGCGCTCATCAGCGCTTTTATCAGTGAGGTCGCCGTCGGAAGGTCACGAACGGAGTCACATGGGCCAACATGGCGATCCGCCTCGGCGTTGCGCCGGGGCCGAAGAACACTGATTCCTAGTCTGCCCGGCACAAGGTGGGTCATCATAGGGTAAAATGGGGGGTGGGGCTAGGAGGCTCAGAGCCAAAGAGGGCGGAAGTAGTCACGTGGGAGCAACAGTAAAGAAGTCAAGTCATGCCGGAGGCCGAGGAGGTGGTCACGGTGTACGCAGCTTTAATTCCGGGGATATAGTAAAGAGTCACGAGGTCATTCCGTGAGCCTGGTGCGGCCGGCCTCACTGGGTCTCGTGGTCCTGAGGGTCAGGAAATTGGGTAGGGTGGTCCAAATGGGGTGGCCTTGACTAATGGGAATGTGGATAAATGTACGGGTCATCGGAAATACAACTTGGAGAATGGGGTGGGTAGGGTGGCACGGGGGAGGTTGTTGGCTGCGCCATGTGACCGTATCGGTCACGCGGGATAGGGAAGGAGAGTGATCTCGAGATTGCCTGCCCTCCGCTACAAATATCCTCCGCCTCCCCGTCCCGGTACCGACAAACAACCTCACTCTAGCCCTCCACTCCTCCACCCCCTCCTCCTCCTCTTCGGACTCCACACGTTACTCTTGCCCTCGTAGACTCCTCCACAGCTCTACCTCCCTCAGATCAGATGTCTGCGCACTGTGATAGCGACGACGAGCGTCATCCCCGCCAGTGTTGCGGGCATGGAACTTGCGCCATTGTCGGAGTCTGCATCCGAAACATGAGCTTCCCCTGGATCGTGGAAGTGTGTGAGAACGAAGTTTCTTCTGACATCGAGATCGATCAAGGAGCTGCCAGTGATCCTGAGCCGGAGATTGCATGTGAAAACCAAGACGAACAAGACATTGCCCTTTCATCGGGACTGTACTGGACCATGCCCGCAAGGGTGAGAATAGCGAAGCCTGTCAAGATCAGAGACAATGGCATGTTTCGCAGGGCCTGCAGCTCGCCATGCGGCAAGGAAAGCGCCCGGGAAACAAGGATTGGGCGGAAACCCTGCTTCGTCCAGTGGATCTGTATGAACGATTTGGACTTCAACAAGAAGAAGCCTTTGCTTGCTAGGTTCTACCTCAAGTTATCATACTTTCGACGGGCCAACAAATGCGCGAGGAGCTGGAAAGAGACTCCCAATGCTCCCGCTAAGACGATGGTCTTGGACAATATCAATGCGGTGAGGACTAGGGTCGCCAACGCCCGCTTGTCGCGAACCTCCGAGGTAGCACCAGAAAGCAACTAGGACGTTTCTATCAACCGCCTGGTCGTGTAGTCGTTGGCATGTACATATTTTTAGTCTCCCCCCCTGTTAACATTTCATGTTGAATGAAGTAGAGAACCTGAATGCACTTTAGACTTTCGACCCTAAACTTGAAACCAAGCCTTAATTGAACGCGGGACACTGCTTTCTAACTGTGATGTTGTGCCGGAAGATCTCTGGGTACGAGGAAGCTTCAAGCTAGATTCCTTCCGGTCCGGGGCCTGGCAGCCGCTCTGAGCGCCCGGCCTACTGCCGCTGAACAGTGAGCAGCACCGCGCAGTGGCCTGCGCGGCTGCAGCCCGGCCGCTGAGTGCTACGGCGCCGCGGCGCGGCCTCGGACGGTCACGGTCACTGACTGACCCACGGCGGCCGGGCGGGCCGCCGGGCCCGTGACTTGGTGACGCCTCACTGTCGGCGCCGCGGTACGGTACACGCCACGGTACGCTCCCGAGCCTGTCCCGAGAAACTCGCCGGAGTTCCGAGGCTCGGGCCGAGCCATCGGTCATCGGCGACTCAGCGGGCTGGCCCCGGGCCAGGGCTCGCGGGGCGCGGCGGCCCGGGCTCCGCCTCGCCGCCGCTCAGTGAGGCTCGCTCGGACTCCGGGAGGCGGGCCTCGGAGGCGGCTCGGAAACTTCCACTCAAGGGGATGGCCCGCTACACAGCCAATTCATTGCCTACACATCATGCCGGAAGGCGCCGGTGAGAACTTGCTTCTCCTGCTCCTCGAACCCCCTCCTCTCTCCCTGCTGCTTTTTTTTCCCTCCCCCTGTTTCCCCCCCCTTTTTTTTCCCCCCCTTTTGCCCCCCCCCCCCCCCCCCCCCCCCCTTCGCTTGCTCCCTCCCTCCCACCCTCCCTCTCTCGTTTCGATGTCTCCTTTGCAAACTTATCTCACGTATATGCCATTCTGTCACCATTCTCCTGATTCTCCTCTTATCTCATGGCGTTTACGTTTGAGAAGACTTCAGTCCATTTTCACTGTGATCTTCAACATCCATGAAAGGCTCTCATAGCTATCATCACTCGTGCTCCTGCATGCCTCAATCCCCGCTGTTTCATCTCAGTACACACGATTTCACACCTGCTTTAGGCGTGATTCTTCGCTTGCACGATGAAACCTGATTGTGCAAGAAAACAGCTGCTGAGTGCCTGAATCTTTGTTGAGAGCAGTCTGAGAGACGGAACTGCTTGTTCTCCAGCCCTGATAGCCTGACATGGAAAATGTAAAGCGATATAGTGGTGGATTTGGGGGCTCAATGCGCCCAGAGCCTGTGAGTACACGACCAGTGCTTCCTCCTTCCCGCCTGCCCTTTGATGTTTACCCTTGTCGCAGCTGCAAGATGCAAGCTCGGAGTGGGTCGACGGGTTGGATCCGGGAAATGTGGAGGTGAGAGAATCTCGTCGCTCTTGACTGACGCTGACACACGTGGGATCCTGCAGTTCATGATGCATGACTCGCCTGCGGCTCAAGGATCTCAGGCCCCCGCTCGGAAGAAGTTGGGCTCTCTTGGCTGCCTCTGAGCTCCTGCTGACTTCCCTCCAGCACGTCGGCACAGATCGGTTGGCTCCGACCGAACCTCCTCGAGTCAGGGAGTACCGTCACAGCACCAGGTGAGCAGGAAGGCGAGGTCTCTTCCCAAGTGATGGACTTTCAGAGACGTCCAGGATGAGCTCACAGGCCGCCAGAAGCTCCAAGGCTCTCAGCAGCAGGTAAGCCCTCCGCCCTCGTAGGAAACCAGCGTTGTGAGAATGTGCAAGCCAGGACGTGAAGCCACCGGAAAAGGAGGGGAAGAACTACGTGAAAGGATCTGCTCTCGGTATTCAATACTTCCTTCCCCTCCATGACCTTCGCTCCATCCCGTACCTTTCCTCGTCTCTCCCTCCTTCCCGCATCCTCCCTCCTGTCTCCACACCGCCTCTGCCTCCCTTCTCTCCCTCCCTCCTCTCACTGCATCGCCTCTTGCTCCCCTCTCTCCCTCCTGCTCCCTTCCCTCCTTCAGCTCCCTCCCCACTCTTGGTTTCTCTCGCACACAAGTTGTCACCAACCGCTTTCTGCGCAGGGAACATTCCGCTGAGCGTCAACGACTACACCGCGCCCAACCTCAACTCAGCGATGCTCCCAATTGTCTCTCGCTCCCGTTTGAGCATGTCAAGCGCTGACCCTAGCTCTCCAGCAATGCAACCTGCGACGGAACTGGAGGAAGATGAGACGGCGGCGGGCTCAGGAGGACACGGACTCGAGCGAGGAGTCGAGGTGAGCATGGCAAACTTTCTCCTGTTCGGGGCATGCCAATCTGAGCATCGACCTCAGCGATGAAGAGCCTGCTCAAAATTCTTCGGAGTCGAAAAATTCTGCCGGGACGGTGCCGCAACCGGGAACAAGTGCAGCTAGCGGAGTGATCAAAGGGCAGGCTGGGACAAAGAATTCCGCATCGCTACCACGCCTGAGCAAACGACAATGAGCAGATTCGTAGGACAGGCTGTGTTCTTGTACAACTTCGATGTCTATGTCAAGAGTTTTGTTTGGTAAGCATGAAATCAGTTGAAGTTCCCGCGCCAGCTCTTTCAAACGGGGTTCGTTAAGCTTTGAGATCTTTTGATCATTCCTGCATTTATTCACCACACCAAGTCTCTCATGGTGACCCGAACATCCGGCGTTCTAACTCAGGCTTACGACCTGTACTGCCTACTGACAGGTAGACTTTTTTAGTTCGCTCCACCTCCGCTTCCTCCTTCCGAGCACACATCCAGACCTGAGTCCTGCGAGAAATTTCAGTCAAAAAAGATGCTATTTACTTGTAATCAGTCTTACCGAGCACACTGTGTTGCATCCGCATTCTCCGCTATTCTTCTGGCTCTGAGTGCAGATCTTGTATGGCTCACTGCCCAGTAAACATCAGCAAGTCCGAAATATCCTGAACTTGACGACACTTACGGGTCAATCACGATACCCTCAGCATTGCACGTCGATAGAGCTGTGAACTGCCTCAAGAGGGAAAACCTGATCGATGGTGACAGAGTCAAAATCGTTAAAGATGATCAAGAAAGAAAGTGTAATGTTTAGCAGAGCAAGCTGTAGTCAGTTGTACAGCAACATCAAATTCTATCCATAAAGACACTGAAATGAGGATGACAGAAGATTGGGCAACATAAAAAAGCAGTCATGACAGGACACTAAAAGGCATTGCAGTATGTCGACACGTCGTTCAGTATCAAAGAAATCGTTGAAGTTCTCTTCTTTCTTCATCTCCTGCACCCTTCTCTCTGCACGGACAGCAATTCCTCAATCATCAGCGATCTCGTTTGCACCTGCCTGCATACACAACCTGCTCCTACGGTGTCTGCCTGCTCTACTGTCTCACAGGCTTCTCCAAACTCTCAGCAATTTCCATTTCACAATGTCTTTTCACAATGTCCTTTCTGCTTAAACTTTTCTGCTAACACAATCTGGACCAAGGAAGTTGTCTACATACACCAGGTGACTCTGACCATTGGATGCTTCTTCATCTTGACCGTGCATCTGCATACTCTGATTGCTCACTCTAAACTGCCTCCCTTCCACTCCACCAGCCTCTCGCTGCAACTTAATCTTCAAGTCGTCAAGTTCTGTACGCACTTTCAAACGTCCGTGATTGACAACATGCCTACAAGTGCTCACAAGCTTCTTGCTCTGCCCTCTCATGCATCGTCATCTTCATCTTCTCCACTGTGGGCGAGGGGCGAGGCTTACATTGCGTTTGACGTTCTATTTTGGGACTCTGATGCCGTGACCCCTACCTACGAATCAACCTAACAGGACCCCCTCTTTTCACCGGATGACTACTTGAGTCCGACTGTCACTTGAGTAAAACTTTCGATGAGTAAAACTTTCTCAGTGAGGCTGGCACGGCGGCCGGGCCCGCCCAAGAAGGAGCAGGTGAGTCATAGTGTAACGGTATTTGTAACCGCTTATCCGGTCACCGGTCCGTCTGCCTCAATCTGGTCCTAGGTTGGTCATAGCTCGGAGTCTACCTCGGTAGGACCACCTACAGCCCCCTAGCGGCGAACGTTCCTAGGATGGTGATAGAAAATTGTAGATGAGCTAGGACCTTTCTATGACCTAAATGGTGTCGAGGAAGGTGGTTTCCAAGGGGGGTGGATTTTGACAGAAGGGGTAGTTTATAAGGGGAAAGGTGGGTAAGTACCGGGTAGAAAAGCGAGGAAATGGGTAGTGGACTTAGAAGGGGGTGGTCTGTACAATGAAAACAGCGCGGTCCTGAACAGAGGAGTGGTAGCGGAGGAGGAGGAGGAGGAGGAGGAGGAGAATGAGGAAGATTGGGGGCAGTGACAGGGTCAGCAGAGACAGCTGGGGCAAGAAGGATAACTGATTGACAGGAAAGAATGTCGCAGTAGTGCCTGATGATAGGTTGTAGTGGGTTGTTCAAGATCGGAAAGGGTGTTGTGAGATATCATAGTCCGAGATCATCATATACAAGGAGAATGTGAAGGAGTTGAAGCAGAAGGTGCTCAGTGGTATGTTTGCTATTGGATCGTTGACAAGGGTATTGTCTGGCCTTGACCAGTTCGTGATCTGCCCCAAAAATATGGTTTTGAATTGAGACACAGTCATCATTTGAAAATGCTTTATTCGGACAGCACTAGTGATCGCTTGTATCGCGTGCTCTGACTTTCAGCACCGTGTCCTCCTTCTGCCGCGTGTGACTGTCGTTACAGGGTATCGCGCTAGGAGGCCGAGGGGGGGAGGAATGCCAGGAAACGCCTCTGTGTATCTGAGGGGAGGGTCGCAGAGCTCTCGTATTGACATCACACATGCTCTCTCTTGAAATCGGATAGCGTTCCCATCACCTCAGATAGCGCGCTCCTCTCCTAGTCCTCCTCGTCATGCCTGAAGATAAATTCATCAACGACTCTTCTAGTAAGAGGGACCTCTTGAAGAAGTCGCCCTCTCTTTCTCTACCGTTCTTGGACAAGCAGCTGATGGGTCAGTTGAGGGCATGGTGCATGCTCTGTTGTATTGATTCTTGTTGGCCTGCAGAAGAATGCGAGAAAGGGAAACTGGATGACAAGACCAAGAAAAAGATCCGAGATGGGTAAGATCTCGTTTAAATGCTTGCAAGTTGAGGTATTGACTTGAATCGAACAAAGATGCGTCTTGCTGCGAGATGCTTATGAAGGCCGAGCTTCTCACGGTCTTTACTCGCTCCTAAAGGGCCCTGCTTACAAGCGAGCGCTCTTCATTATTCACACTCATCCCATGTGGATGAATGTTGTGATCTGGGCAAGCATCATTCATGCAAGCTTGATCATCTGGGAACCGCCAAACAGATTGAGCTCATGGCTTGATCCAACCTTGGACCCAATCCCCATCATTATCCTTGAAGTTCTGTGCATGGGAGTGTTCGTGGCAGATATAGTTTTCAAGATGCTCTACTTCGGAGATGAAAAGGTGTCGGGATGGCAGGATTACATCTCCAAGGAATGGCAGAGGAACTACATGACGATCATCTTCTTGTTTCATGTCGACTTTGTTCTCTATCACACAAAACTTTGCCCTTTCCGGTTTGCTAGACCTTTCAGGCTGACGGTGCTAGCGGCCAGACATCGGGACGTCAGGAGGCTGATTTCGTTCTTTCCAACGATGTGCGTCAAGCTTGTGACTGTGTTCTTCCTCCCCCTGCTGGGCGTTCTCGCATTCTTCAGCATTCTTTGCGTGCGGATCTATGGCAGGCTGCCAGCTGAGCACTCGCTGGATCTTGGGGAGGACTCTTTCAGCTCTGTCATGCCCGCAATCCGCACGCTGTTCCTCCTCTCCACCATCGACAACTTTGACCCGGTGGTGACGGAGGCGTACAAGCAGCACCCTGTCTCCTTCTTCTTCTTCCTTGCCTTCATCGTGTTCGCAAGCTTCTTCCTCATGTCCGTGGCCCTTGGGGTCATGTTTGATCTCTACCTGGAAGACCACGAGAAGACGGTCAAGGCGGAGGCAAAGAAGGAGGAGAAGTCGATGGCCAAGGCTTTCCAAAAACTGGACGTGGAGGAGCAGGGCAAGATCAAGTGGCTTCACTTCCGAGAGATGTTGGTGCATCTCCGACCTAAAGATCGCAACGTCAAGCACGACATAGCCATCTTCAAGGAGCTGACAAGGGACATGATCCTCAGAGGAGAGGTGCTGGTCTCGCTTCTTGCCTACTCCCCTCCTGACGTTGATGGTCAGGAGCCCCACATCAACTCTACAAACTTCAGGGACATCAAGGGATTCCTGCCGGTCTCCTTCGTCTCGATGAAGAACAGCCCACGTGAAGTTTTGTTTACTGCTTTTGCTCCTCCCTCAATCTTACTTGTCCTTCTTGACTTTCCTGTCCTGAGCTCTGCCCTCCCACCCGCTGTTATCTCCAGGCCCTATGCTTTCCACCTTTCCCGTCCTGCGTGCTGCATAGCAGGCTGAGGTTGTGACGTGACAAGTACGAAACAGCAAAGCCTGCATCGAGCCTGCAGAAGTTCACCGAGTTTTGGGAGTACATAATCATCAGCGTCGACTCAATTCTTATTTTGAGCGGTGCGACTTGCCGACCTGCGGCCCAAGACCATCCGCTGACCTTGTTGACGACCAGGAATGGACAGCATGAAGGTCAACGGCATAAAGTTGGGAACGATCTTCTTGTCCTTCTTCATCTGGCACCTCATTGTCCTCGTCATTTTCGTAATTCCTTATCCTTCCACCATGCTGGACTGGCACTTATGCTCGTCCCAGGACTTCTCCTTTGCGAGGAAGTACTGGAATGTAGACTGGAGAAGAGGAGATAGCATCATCCTTCTCATCTCTGTCGTAAGTTTCTCAGTTTCCCTTTCCCTCACACTGTCTGTGCACCTCTTGTAAGCTTCTGCTATAGGTCTGCCATGCGTGGGTCAACTTCAAATGCCAGGTCTGAGACTTGTCAAGTCATTGTTGATATCAGGCTGAATATTTGCAATTGTGAACGATGAGACAATGAATAGTGGAAGTGATCTGCAACCGTGCTCTTGTATTTGTCGTTGCTGCTGCTGGCCATGATTGCTGTGTGACTGACATCATCGCTATGTTGACACGACTGACTACAAGCTCTTCAGAGTTGCCGTCCATCATTCAAGTGCCTTCTCGAAGCCGTGGCTGTGATCAGAATCTTCCGTCCTGTGCTTCACAATAGAGAAAGCCGACAGTACATGTGAGGGGGCCTTCAAAGTCCTTCTACCTTCACGTTCACCCCTCCGCCTCCTCCTTCATCATCTCTCTTCCTCCTTGTTCGTCCTGCTCATTCACCTCCTTCCTCCCCTCCATGTCTCCATGTGATTTTGCCTCTACTTTGCTCTGCTCCCATCCTCCCTGTTTCTCCTGCACGCCTTTGACCTCGTCGTGTCTTCAGGCTGGCTGTGCTCGGAGTGGGTCCGGTGCTCCTGCACTTTGGGCTGTTGGTGGCAACATTCAACTACATGTTCTCTGTGAGCTACAGGAGGGACAGAAGGAGAGGAGGCAGGAGGGAAGAGAGGAAGACGGAGGGAAAGATTTTGTGGAGATTGGGAGTGAAGAGGGGGGAACAGAAGATTGGAGGCAGAGCAGAGAGAGTATCAGTGCATGACGAGTATCAGTGCATGACGAGCGTTCTTGCTGGAAGGTCATCGCAATGGAGATGTTTGCCTTGGACCCCGTCACGACGACTGGACCTGAGGGGACTCGCCTCCTCCTCGCCTGCGACAAGGTCGGTGTTGTGCGCCATGGCTGCGGTTGAGCTGACGGAGCGGGGGATGCAGGAGCTGCCCAACTTCAACTGCTTCTCCACCGGCTCGCTCTCCATCTTCATGGTGTTCATTGAAGCTGGATTCGGTGTCGTTGCCGTGACTTCGCTTGCCCGCCGCCCCCTGACCTGCCCCGTTACGACAGGCAAGGTCATGCATGCGAGACAAGCTGAAAAGTCTCTTCCCCCGCTCAACTCCTTGCAAACGGCTGGGATCAACCTCTACTTTATCATGGTCTATGCGGTAGTTATCATCGCCTCCTCCCCTCGTCCTCTTTCTGTTCTTGGTCCTTCCTTGCCCTCTCCTCCTCCTCCTCCTCCTCCTCCTCCTCCGCCTCCTCCTCCTCATCCTCCTCATCCTCCTCATCCTCCTCATCCTCCTCCTCCTCCTCCTCCTCCTCATCATCATCATCATCATCATCC